ATACACTGCCAAAAATGTATCGCATCTCTCTAAATATCACTGAACAGAGTGGATTCCCAAAATATAGTTATTTGCCTGAAGTAAATAGAACGAATAGGCACTACAGAAATATTCACCATGCAAGTTATTATCATATCTATGTACATAACAATCTCAAGACATACACTGAAGCAGTCAGATTTCAAAACACTCTGACAGTGATCTCAATAGCCCACATATTCAAGTTTCTAAAAATAGAACTCTTTCTACCCACAGATCTTTTACAACGAGCTTTAGACATTAAACAAATGGAGATTAAAGAGCAGGGCGAGTAAGCGAGGTTTTTAGTTTTATTCCTTAGAAGTAAGACACTTTAGACAATCCTGCTTCCCCTAAGTGTCGGCTCAAATACGAAGCTAATCCAGGAGCTGATTTAGAAGATGAAACAGGGGGGGAAAGCTTACTTGTATTACTGTATAAAAGGTATTTTAGCCACCTAAAAAACCCATAGTATGAATATTATTTTAATATTTTCACCATGCAAAAAGACGGCCCTTTCGACTGGGAAGCTGTTAATTACGCTCACTTCAAATCCAGCAGACTCCAACTGTGATTTTTATATCAGGAGTGGCTGGTTTACTTCTGCCATGATGAGTCAGTTTGTGTGTGTTATTAAGGCGTCTAAAAGGGTTCATTCGGATTCACAAATTAGCACAATTACACAAACAACTAACCAATTAGGAAGCAGTAAACCAGCTACTTCCTCAATTCAGCGAGGTTCAATTAGTGTTGTTGTCAATGGAGCCTGGAGGCTTAAAATAGAGCATCGATAACGGCTTCAGTTCCTCGTTGGAAAAGGGCTTTTTCTAAATATAGCGTCCACTTAAACTGCATTTGATTGGTTTAGGTGGGTCGTTAGCAGAGGTGGGAAGTAGTGGAGTACAAATACTTCGTTACTGTACTTATTTATCTGGTATCAGTACTTTACTCCACTGCTTATTTTTCTGACGGCTTTTTACTTTGACTTCTTACATTTGAACCCAAATACCTGTACTTTCTACTTCTTACATTTTGAACCCAAATACCTGTACTTTCTACTTCTTACATGTTGAACCCAAATACCTGTACTTTCTACTTCTTACATGTTGAACACAAATACCTGTACTTTCTACTTCTTACATTTTGAACCCAAATACCTGTACTTTCTACTTCTTACATTTGAACCCAAATACCTGTACTTTCTACTTCTTACATGTTGAACACAAATACCTGTACTTTCTACTTCTTACATTTTGAACCCAAATACCTGTACTTTCTACTTCTTACATTTGAACCCAAATACCTGTACTTTCTACTTCTTACATGTTGAACACAAATACCTGTACTTTCTACTTCTTACATGTTGAACCCAAATACCTGTACTTTCTACTTCTTACATGTTGAACACAAATACCTGTACTTTCTACTTCTTACATTTTGAACCCAAATACCTGTACTTTCTACTTCTTACATTTGAACCCAAATACCTGTACTTTCTACTTCTTACATGTTGAACACAAATACCTGTACTTTCTACTTCTTACATGTTGAACCCAAATACCTGTACTTTCTACTTCTTACATTTTGAACACAAATACCTGTACTTTCTACTTCTTACATGTTGAACACAAATACCTGTACTTTCTACTTCTTACATTTTGAACACAAATACCTGTACTTTCTACTTCTTACATGTTGAACACAAATACCTGTACTTTCTACTTCTTACATTTTGAACACAAATACCTGTACTTTCTACTTCTTACATGTTGAACACAAATACCTGTACTTTCTACTTCTTACATTTTGAACACAAATACCTGTACTTTCTACTTCTTACATGTTGAACACAAATACCTGTACTTTCTACTTCTTACATGTTGAACACAAATACCTGTACTTTCTACTTCTTACATTTTGAACCCAAATACCTGTACTTTCTACTTCTTACATTTTGAACACAAATTCCTGTACTTTCTACTTCTTACATGTTGAACACAAATACCTGTACTTTCTACTTCTTACATTTTGAACCCAAATACCTGTACTTTCTACTTCTTACATTTGAACCCAAATACCTGTACTTTCTACTTCTTACATTTTGAACACAAATACCTGTACTTTCTACTTCTTACATTCTGAACCCAAATACCTGTACTTTCTACTTCTTACATGTTGAACACAAATACCTGTACTTTCTACTTCTTACATGTTGAACACAAATACCTGTACTTTCTACTTCTTACATGTTGAACACAAATACCTGTACTTTCTACTTCTCACATTTTCCAAACAGGCTGGTTCCTTTAGTTTGAATGTGTGTTTGGTGGCGTGATCATTATTATTTAGAGTCATTGCGTGCCTATTGATTTGAACACGATCCGTGTATCCATCATTTCCTGGTCTTCTCTAAAGAAGAGGGACCAATGAAAACGTTGTCATGTTGCCGTTGTTCAGCATGGAAACATTCATTAGCTAACAATGACATTATTGTTCTATTAATATAAAGGGAGGTCAGGCACTCTTTAAAACAGATGCTAGTTAGGGGTACTTGTGTGTGTGAATGATAATTTCAGTGTCAGTCAGGCTATGGGGAAAGACAAAGACAACATATGATTACAACTGTGTATTTTGAATGGTACGGTATTAAAACGACCACTAAATAATTCATTATAACTATACTGTATGTTAGTACCGTCACCTTTCAGCACCATGCTGTTCTGCAGCAGGGAGAATAATGAGGGCAGAAACAGACGATCAGCCTCACGTTGTTCAAACAGCTCCCAATAAATTTAATGAAGCAACATTTCACACACGTTTCCCCCACAGGCTGCGTGAGGAAAACAATAAAGGCGTTTGATCCTGACACTGTAAAACTTTTGGGATGTGCATCCTCCACAGATTCTGATTGTTTATCGAAGTGATAATGACCAATTCTTCCTGGGAAAACGTTCCTCCGTGAACGCAGATTAAAGACCGTCCCCGGGGTACTTCCTGTTACCGGCCGTATTGTTTTGTGAGTTTGTGTGCATCATTATGGCAATAAGTGTTCCTGGAGACACACATAAGTACACATTTGGGGTACCTGTACTTTACCTGAGTATTCATGATCATTTTCAGGTGTATATCAGTATGTAGTGTCTCTACTTTAAAGAGTCCTCTCCTGCTGATGTTCAGGTGTATATCAGTATGTAGTGTCTCTACTTTAAAGAGTCCTCTCCTGCTGATGTTCAGGTGTATATCAGTATGTAGTGTCTCTACTTTAAAGAGTCCTCTCCTGCTGATGTTCAGGTGTATATCAGTATGTAGTGTCTCTACTTTAAAGAGTCCTCTCCTGCTGATGTTCAGGTGTATATCAGTATGTAGTGTCTTTACTTTAAAGAGTCCTCTCCTGCTGATGTTCAGGTGTATATCAGTATGTAGTGTCTCTACTTTAAAGAGTCCTCTCCTGCTGATATTCAGGTGTATATCAGTATGTAGTGTCTCTACTTTAAAGAGTCCTCTCCTGCTGATGTTCAGGTGTATATCAGTATGTAGTGTCTCTACTTTAAAGAGTCCTCTCCTGCTGATGTTCAGGTGTATATCAGTATGTAGTGTCTCTACTTTAAAGAGTCCTCTCCTGCTGATGTTCAGGTGTATATCAGTATGTAGTGTCTCTACTTTAAAGAGTCCTCTCCTGCTGATGTTCAGGTGTATATCAGTATGTAGTGTATCTACTTTAAAGAGTCCTCTCCTGCTGATGTTCAGGTGTATATCAGTGTCTCTACTTTAAAAAGTCCTCTCCTGCTGATGTTCAGATGTATATCAGTATGTAGTGTCTCTACTTTAAAGAGTCCTCTCCTGCTGATGTTCAGGTGTATATCAGCATGTAGTGTTTCTACTTTAAAGAGTCCTCTCCTGCTGATGTTCAGATGTATATCAGTATGTAGTGTCTCTACTTTAAAGAGTCCTCTCCTGCTGATGTTCAGGTGTATATCAGCATGTAGTGTTTCTACTTTAAAGAGTCCTCTCCTGCTGATGTTCAGGTGTATATCAGTATGTAGTGTCTCTACTTTAAAGAGTCCTCTCCTGCTGATGTTCAGGTGTATATCAGTATGTAGTGTCTCTACTTTAAAGAGTCCTCTCCTGATGTTCAGGTGTATATCAGCATGTAGTGTCTCTACTTTAAAGAGTCCTCTCCTGCTGATGTTCAGGTGTATATCAGCATGTAGTGTCTCTACTTTAAAGAGTCCTCTCCTGCTGATGTTCAGGTGTATATCAGTATGTAGTGTCTGCTCTGATTGGTTAGCTGGCCGGCTCTGTTGTGATTGGTCAACCAGTTAGAGATGTCCCGCCCCTTAGCCTATCACGTGCAATGTGTTGGAGCGCTAGCCAATAGAAGCGCGAGTGTTACATAGTGATTTTAGCCTTTGCAGACCATTTACATGCACACAAACCTATGTAACCCACTACAAAAAGTATAATAGGGCCTCTTTAACACATCCTGCTGGGCCTATTTGTCTCGAATCCTTCCTTTTAGCAGAGTTAATATCCTGCAATATGACCTCTTCTTACTCTTACACTTCTACTGTAAGTCGCTGTGGATGACTGCCTCCTTTGGGGAGATTTGTCCAAACGGTTGGTCAGATTATGCAGTTAGAGTCCTATAGCAATGCAAAGCAACCCGACCATAAAAGACTGAAATGCTCACTGCTTTAAGTCCACTGTGTGACACTTAAAATAAAGCTGTTTGTACCGGGTCTGCAATTTCCCAGAGGGCACAAAAGGCAATGAAAAAAGGTTGCACTCTCAATAAATAACCTCTCTTTAAATGTAATCTAGCTTAATTGTGTTCAAATTCATTGTGCCCCCCTGTGAGCAAAGGTCAGTAATGGGTTGCAATTACCCAGTTAGCTTGAGATGAAACTTTGTGCAGACAAAGAGAGTGTGTGTGTGTGTGTGTGTGTGTCTGTGTGTGTGTGTGTGTGTGTGTACGTGCTTACCCTGAAGTCGATGCCCACAGTGGAGATGAAGCTGCCGGCTAGAAAAGCTCCATCTTTGAAGCGGACCAGCAGACAGGTCTTCCCGACACCTGAGTCCCCCACCAGCATCACCTGAGACACACACACACACACACACACACACACACACACACACACACACACACACACACACACACACACACACACACACACACACACACACACACACACACACACACACACACACACACACACACACACACACACACACACAAACACACACACACACACACACACACACACACACACACACACACACACACACACACACACACACACACACACACACACACACACACACACACACACACACACACACACACATTTCAGATGATACAAGTCAAAACCCTGTGTGTGTGTGTGTGTGTGTGTGTGTGTGTGTGTGTGTGTGTGTTTGAAGAATGCATCGTCAAAACCACAAGGCAACAGACACTCCCCAAACTCTACAGAGCATCACACACTCTGCAGTGGGAGAAAGCAGACTGTATAGACTCTTTTTTTACCCACAATGCAACACAAACTCTCTTCACTTCTGCACCATTTAATAAGCATGTGCATTTATCTATTTCATCTGCAGCAATTTAATAAAGTGTACAGTAGATGCTGTGGAAAGAAACTTAAAAAGTAAAGATTTGAGGTTCTTTACCTGAGTATGTTCTTTCTGCGCACTCAATATTTCTACATTTATTTTATAGATTGAGTTACTTTATAGCAGAGTGTGTTGAAGAGACACTCCCAGACCATTTACATGCACTAAAACCTATAGAACACACTATAGGAAAGGGAAAACCCCAAAAAGCACAATAGGGCCTCTTTAAAGGTCCCATGTCATACCTTTCTGGTTATTACCCGTCCCCTTGTGTGTTATGAAGGTTTGTATGCATGTAAACGGTCTGCAGAGTCACAAACCCTCAAAGTGCACCCTGTAGCGAATAAAACTCTAACACAGAAAATACCTGTCTATGCTGCCCCAGAACGCCTCGTTGGAGATTTCTCTTTTTCTTCCTGGGTACAGTGACGTATTTGGGTATAGTGACGTAACGTAACGGCTCCGCGGATTGGTCCATTTGGACCAATCCGCGGACTTCCTCACACACACACACTCGGCGGGACATTGCGAGGCTCGCTGCTGCGAGGAGCGGGACACTGTGAGCTGGCTCACTGGTGTGGGGTCGGCGAGACAGCGCAGAACTCAGCCTGAGCACACACACAAACTCCCAGCCAGGCTGCGGGTGTGTGTGTGTTTCGGGCTGGGTTTCGCTGTGTCTCGCTGTCTCGCAGACGGCCACTGGGCTCACAGGGAGGGGGGGGGGGGGCAGGAGCTCCAACAAGCCGTTTAGGACAGAGAGTGAATACACATACTATACAGAGATGCTGTATGAGAAACCAATGTGAGTTTGGAACATTGTAAAATATAAATCTATTCTAGTAGACCTCAACAATGGAATTATGATCAGTAGAAATGGCCATGACATGGGACCTTTAAGTACAATTCTCATTGCAGTACTTTATACAAAATACAGTTTTTTCAGTGTAGTTTTAGTACTTGAGTGATTTTCTTTCCACCACTGTGTGTTTGTTGAAATGTGTGACACTTAACTGTAATGTGCATTAAGTTGAAGGTAATCACAGAGCAGGGATTTGGAAACAGGAACATTTGTTAATGAAGGTTCAGAATGAATTCAAGCTGCCTCCCACATGGTGAGGATTTAGATTTTGTTATTATGTGCACTGCTGCTAAACAAAAGGCTCCTCCTGCGCTGCTGCTATTGATCGGATACACAGCAGAACCTCCTTTCAATATAATTGCACTGGACCGTAGGGAACCTCACGTTCCTGTTGCAAGAAAAATACTGCGGTTCCTTCATTTTTGCATCTGCAGTGACCAGAGTAGAGCCACAGTGGAGGAACCAACATGTGAGACGAGCTTTGGGGATTCAAAATGAGGAATTTACACAACTGGGAACACAATTATCTTCATGGACGATATATCTAATTGTTCATCTCGGGACTGCGCTTCACAGGGAAATAAATGAAGTGCAATTAAGAGTTTTAAGCAAGCCTAATAAAGACGCAGAATATCCAGCGATGTCCACATAATCCTGCACAGGCTCATTGATGGAAGCCCATTTACACCAAGAAATTAAAAGGAAGAAAGATGAGAGGATATGCGTAATGATCCAAGTCACATCACAAGTCAAAACTATGAAATAATGAGTCCAATTTAACTAACGAATCCAGAGTTACAAGACAACATTGTCAAATACCGAGTCATTTTCTTAAGAGATGCAATGATCAGTTGACTAATCAATGAGTTGATTAACAGACCAAAACGAGTCTTCAATTTTTTTCATATTCAATGAATCATAAAAGCAATTTTTTGCAAATAATGCTGTTTTATTATTATCTAGAATATGGAGATGTCCTGCTTTTCTCTGCTTTATGTAAGGGATAATGTGCAGCGAGGCGGTCATTATGGGTAAAAGAACACCCAATAGGCTGATCAGGGATCAGCCTGTTGGGTGTTCTTCACAATGACCGCTTCGCTGCACATTATCCCGCTTATTACACGGCCACATTCTCAACAAAGTAACGATATGACTCCCAATATTAATTGAAATGCTTTTATAGATTTTGAAAATGTTTTTATTGTTTTAAAAAATTGTACGCTATTATTGATTTAAAATGACATGCATCCGCTAAGAAAAATAGTCCGTTGTTACTGTTTGAACTACGTAGCAACGGCAGGAACTGCTTCGATAGCGTTTTTGCGGAACTTTTTGATTACAGATTTGAAAACATCGTTGCTTGCTTTAAAAGTAGCACAATTCATTATGTCAAACCTTGGAAAGTATCTAGATATCCCTGCCCTAATGCCAAAGTAACTGGCAACTGAATATGTTTTGCCGTTTGATGTCTGGACCGTTGCGTAAAAAGGAGGGTTTCTGCCCCGTTACTTCACCGCTTTTTGCTTTTCGGCCAAACTGTATACAGTTAAATCGAGCGGACTTCTTTCTGCAGATGTGAGCGTCCTTAACAACGGTCAATAAATCCTTGACAGCGGTCGGTCTGTTCTGGATTAACAAGTGTCCCGTGTTCTGAATTGACCAATCAGAATCGAGTATTCAACTAAACCATGTAATAAATCATATTAACACACATGCCTTTAAACGAGACATTTAAAAGACATGTATAGATATCACCTTGGACATCTTCTGGCATGACAAGCTTTTCTGAAATGTAAAAGACTGAATGTTTAATAGATATCTCGAGTGGATGGTCAACAGATTACCAACAGCTTTTCCGTTTCCAGTTTGAGAATAAAGATAACATGAGCATCATAACTTTATTTTGTCTTTCCTTGGTGGACATAAGCTTCCATACAAACCTGTCTCACAAGAACACAGTGTCGACAAAACGAAATCTGAAACTAACACACCTTCAGTTTCTGCAAAGACAGGTATAATATAAACGTTGGGTACTAATATTTAAACTACATTTTTCTGATTACTTACTTCTACTCAAGTTACATTTCCAAATCAGTAAGAGGCTACTTCTTCCACCTCTCCTCTCACCAGGCGTTTCTCTGCCTGCTCACCTTGAAAGCTATATACATTTTTCTGATTACTTACTTCTACTCAAGTAACATTTCCAAATCAGGGCTCTTGTAACAGAGTATTTTTACAGTGTGATTTAAGTACTTTTACTTCATTAAATCATCGAAATACTTCTTCCACCTCTCCTCTCACCAGGCGTTTCTGCTCACCTTGAAGGCTATATCGTAGAACTCCCCGCTGTTGCTGATGGAGGGTCTGCTGGGATACACCAGTGCGGAGGAAGGAGCTGCGGCGGCGGCCAGACCTCTGCCAGACCTCCCGCTGATCGGAGACGCTTTGGGGCTCTTGGAGCTCCCTTTGCCTTTCACTGCCTTCTTCCTGGACATGACTGTGGAAGCAACTCCAAGCAATTCAGCGAGAAAAATCAGGAGGAGAGTTTAAAATACACGAGATGTTTTTTATGTTCTGTCAGTCCAACACTTGTCCTTGTGTTCGAGGTGCGTAATAAGTTCACCTGTGCGTAAAAACCATGACTGTCTGTGCGTAAAAATGGGAATTGAAAGGATGCGTAAAGCGAACAGCTGTTGTCACCGCGTGCAACTGGATGGATGTGAGGTTTCTCTTCCACAAAGTAAACAGCTCGCACTCCTCCCTCTCGTGCGGGGAGGTTGGAGCGCGTGGTCGTTTCAGCGCGTCTGTACAGGAAATCCACCCTAAGACGGAAATTAATTTTTGTTTTTTTGTTTCCAATAAAGTGGGAAAAAGGCAATAAATGTAGTTTTTCAAAAAGGAAATGAGAAGATGTGGAACAATAAATACGTAGAATGCATCAGAAATTCGTAAAGTAGAAGTACGTGTTAGTCAGAAAGGCCCATGAAATACATACAATTACTGGATTATTATATTGATGCCTTTATGTGTTCATTACAGCTGGTAAATGTGCTAATGCTAATTGTATATATATATTTGAATATCATATATACTGTTGCTGGATATTTTTTTGTACATGTTTTATAAGCTAATTATCTAATAGTTTTTTCTCAATTTTCACTGTTGGATATTTAAACCTAAAAATGTACATTTATTAGAGTTTGTTATACATTGTATAAGCTAATTATCTGGATATGTAAAGTAACTAAAGCTTTCAACCAATTGTAGTGAAGTACAAAATACAATATTGGCTTAAAAAATAAATAATAATATATTTTATTTATAGAGTGATTTTAAAAAGGTACCTCAAAGACACTTTACAGACACATGTTGAAATTAATATACTCTAAAAAGAACGTACCTTAGATATTAAAACACATAATAATAATTACACATTAAAAGCAGCTCTACAAATGACACTAAAAGTACTAGTCAAGTGAATAAATGAACTTCTAGATATGAGAATATTCCTCAAGACTTCAATCATCTTTATCCAAATCAATTAAATGCAGCACTTCAGGATGTCTGTACATCACATAATTGAGATGTGTCACTTTAATATTCATTATGGGGAGACTGTGTCCAAATTATAATATAAAAACTGAGTTCAGGGTAGTAAAACTGAAATATGATTTTCTAATTTAGGGTGTAATTTCCTGTTAACGCTGCAGGTCTGTCTGACAGCTTCACATTTCCTCCACACACACTTTCAGATTCAGACTGCATCTCTGTCAGACAGCTGCTTCAGACACGCTGTAATATGTATCTGAGTTCATTAAAAACACATTTTATTCATATGGGAATGTCATTTTTACGAGTGTATAGTAGAAAGTCTCTGCTAGATGAAGTGAAAACAGCACATGACTCACTCCTTGTGTTCAACAGAGCTTTATAAAGTCATTGTTGTGCGTCCACTGTGACGGTATATCCACCATAAAGCATGTTTACGTAACTGAGATGAAGGTCTGTCCTCTGTACCGTGACTCACTGAGTCTCTTGTTCTTCTGCAAAAAAATATACTTTAGTTAGAAACACACCTGAGAGCTGTCAGTACCTGAAGAGGAAGACTTAGTCAGATCCTTTACTCAGGTCTAAGTATTAATAGTACCACTAAAAGTACTCTGTTACAAGTAAAAGTCCTGCATTGGAAATGTTGCTTAAAGGTCACCTATCATGCTATTTTTAGGCAATAGCATAGGTCTCAGATATATACAAATATATAAAAAACATGTCTATGAAGTGTTTTGCTAAAAATACCAAACAGATCACCCATTCTAGCCATGCCTCATATCCCTCTATTTCACTTCCTGTTTCAAAAGTGCTGATTTGGGGTATAAAGGGTTAAAAATTATATAATTGATAAAAAAAAAAGGAGGGGTCTGAGCTCATGCGGGACCCGGCAGCTACTGTCTAAACTAAATACTGCCGGGATGAAACGCCATATCATGGATTATCAAGGATTCTTTCTGAAACAGTATGGAGCTCAAAGGCTTTCTCTCTTGCCGGTTATACCACAAGGTGAGTTCCTTTTTATTTCCTGCTTCTTCACACACATGCTCTCCAGTACAGGTTAGCTCTGAGTGTTAGCGATGCTAATGTAAACACCGACCATATTACGTCCAAAACAGTCGGGCATTGTTTCTGATAGCAACGTTTCTGATAGGGCCGTGGGTCCACATTTCAGATATTACGTCATATCGGACGCAAATCTGGATCAGCTCCGTTGTAGCCCCGTTTTTAGAGATTTGGGTACGGAGGAAAAGAGAGAGGGTTTTATTTTCTGACGCTGCATGAGTTCCCTGACACACCGGGGACACATGTTTATGAATAAAAGACATCAAAAAGTGCATTTTGCATGATAGGTACCCTTTAAGTAAAAGTAAGTAAGTATAGCAAAATGTTGTTAAAGTATTAAACATTCAAATAAATTGATATAATAAAGCAGAAAAAAAATAAACAATATGTGTTATTAAAAATAATAAAAATGTTTAAATGTGCTATTTAATCATCTTTTAATTGGCTGGATTATGCAGAAAATATAGTGAATAAACAAATACAAATTCCAAATAAATTGGAAAACTACCTAAATGTTTATGGATGCCAATTAATTACCTCTTAATTGGCTGTAACTATCAACTAAGCTGTTCTTGTACAAACTATTGGCTGATTTAAGTTATTACCAAATATCATAACTTGCGTATTTGAATAATAATATATTTATTTTGTAAGCGCTTTTACAGGTGCTCAAAGTCGCTTTACAGAGATAGTGAAAAAGAAAAGAACAACAAATAAATATAGTTGAAGTCAAATTAAAATCAAGCGATACAACAACGATCACACAAGTTACTCACGTTAATGTATGTAATATTTCTCTTTGAATTATAGTGAAATTGATCAGTGTTCTTCAGTACAGTACATTCCTGTCCAGTAAAACTATCCATGCGTCATTCCCTTTTTACATTACATTACATGTTAGACTTACATACTCAATACTGTGGTGGGCAATCCCCACAGGAGCAATTTGGGGTGAAGTGTCTTGACCAGGGACACAACGACATGCTGACTGCAGTGGGGTTTGAACCTGTGCTCCCCTGATCACAACACCAACGCACTAACCCACTGTGCCTCAGCCTCCCACGGTTGTACCATCCTTTCCCAGCAGGGGATCAAACCCACAACCCCCCCCCTTTATCAGACTTTGAGCATTACTTCGCCCCCACTTTCATATTTTATCAGAAGACAGCAGGGAAAGCCAAACTAGAAGAGATCACACACACACACACACACACACACACACACACACACACACACACACACACACACACACACACACACACACACACACACACACACACACACACACACACACACACACACACACACACACACACACACACACACACACACACACACACACACACACCGCAGGAGATAAATGGACATGTGATCCAGCGGACAATCTGAGAGGAAACCATCAAAGAAAAACTGAGTAAAAAGTGAATCTGCTGAGATCAGACAAACAGGAAACAGATATGTTTCATGTGGAGACTATTAAAAACATCCATGCTGTGCGAGAGCTGCAACCTCCAAACCAATGAGGTGTGAAACAGGAACACACACACCACTGGAGTTATAATAGAAATCCTGTACCTGGCTGTTCTTGTATCCTTTGAATAATTTATCACTTCATATCACCTACAGCAATTTTGGATCCTGAACAAAAATGTTGTTTGTGTGTGTGTGTGTGTGTGTGTGTGTGTGTGTGTGTGTAAAGCTGATTCAAGTAACAGTAAAATAGACGTACAATGTGTTGCGTTTGTTCAAAAGGAAACTATTCGTGTTAATTTGGTGTTTAAAAGGGTTCATTGTTTAACACCAAAGTCACACAATAACACACAAATAAATCAACAACTACTACACACACACACACACACACACACACACACACACACACACCTTCCTAATATGTCTTAACAAGAAAGTGTGTATTCTCACCAGGTTTATATATATATATTATCAGCGGAGACAGATGATTGTTGTTGTTGCTTCTGGATTTCCAAACCAACAACAATCAATGACCTTGCTGAAATATTTGTTTTGTTTTGCTCCATCTGGATCCCACTGACACGAGGAGGTCAACAAACATCTCACTCCCCGATGAAAGGAACTTGGCAACGAATAAAATAATTCGTAATTAAGATGCTCGGCACACACTGGATAGGTGTGTGTGTGTGTGTGTGTGTGTGTGTGTGTGTGTTTCAGGACAATATCTCCATCAGATGGAAACCCAACGCAGGCTCAATTAATCAAAGTCAGAGAAGGTTTTGATAAACGAGGAAGGGAAATATATTACGATTCATTTGGCCGACATGTTATTCTGATAAAAAATGTTGGTTGTCACTGACAGAGATGAATGGTTTCTGTGGTAAAGCCACACTGGTTGGTCTTTTTAGGGGATTTCTTAAGCAAAATAGGAGGAAAAACCCCTGAATTATGATATTGGCCGAATAATGAACATCACACACAGCGTAGTGCACGTGATAATATAAATAAACTATAAAGCTGGCAGAGAATTAGCAGCTCCATAGTTTTTTTTTTTACCATATTTTACTCTGTTTTCCCCTTTAAATAACCCCAAACAATGACTACATCTTGTACTTCAACTCTACCTAAACGCATTTACATTTTAAATTAAAGGTCCCCTATTATACTGTTTCTCATCAATATATCACAGGTCTCAGATATATACAGAGCCTGTCTCTGATTGGCTGAAACACCAAACAGATCATTGCAGCATCCCATAATCCCCTCTGTTTCAGCCCTGTTTCCAAAGTGCTGATTCTCTGTCTGTTACTTTAGATGAAAATAAGGAGCCCCTCCCCACGCCCCTCTGAGAGAGATTTGGTTAAAAAGAACACAATGGTGCTCTAGGAGGAGATTCAGGTGATAAGGTGGGGGGGGGGGGTTACCTTGGTTGCTGATTGGCTAATGGTTACACAAGACAAAACATCGTTATGACATCATAAAGTGGCCAAAATCTGATCAGCTCATTTTCAGACAGGTTTTTATATAAATGGATCAGGAGAAAAAGAGAGAGAATCTTTGTTCCTGAAACTTTCAGAGTCTCTTTCCACAGAGGGGACACATGTTGATGAAGAAGAGACATGAAGAAGAGGGGACACATGTTGATGTAGAAGAGACATGAAGAAGAGGGGACACATGTTGATGTAGAAGAGACATGAAGAAGAGGGGACACATGTTGATGAAGAAGAGACATGAAGAAGAGGGGACACATGTTGATGAAGAAGAGACATGACGAAGAGGGGACACATGTTGATGTAGAAGAGACATGAAGAAGAGGGGACACATGTTGATGTAGAAGAGACATGAAGAAGAGGGGACACATGTTGATGTAGAAGAGACATGAAGAAGAGGGGACACATGTTGATGTAGAAGAGACATGAAGAAGAGGAGACACATGTTGATGTAGAAGAGACATGAAGAAGAGGGGACACATGTTGATGAAGAAGAGACATGAAGAAGAGGGGACACATGTTGATGTAGAAGAGACATGAAGAAGAGGGGACACATGTTGATGTAGAAGAGACATGAAGAAGAGGGGACACATGTTGATGTAGAAGAGACATGAAGAAGAGGGGACACATGTTGATGTAGAAAAGACATGAAGAAGAGGGGACACATGTTGATGTAGAAGAGACATGAAGAAGAGGGGACACATGTTGATGAAGAGACATGAAGAAGAGGGGACACATGTTGATGTAGAAAAGACATGAAGAAGAGGGGACACATGTTGATGTAGAAGAGACATGAAGAAGAGGGGACACATGTTGATGAAGAAGAGACATGAAGAAGAGGGGACACATGTTGATGTAGAAGAGACATGAAGAAGAGGGGACACATGTTGATGAAGAAGAGACATGAAGAAGAGGGGACACATGTTGATGAAGAGACATGAAGAAGAGGGGACACATGTTGATGAAGAAGAGACATGAAGAAGAGGGGACACATGTTGATGAAGAAGAGACATGAAGAAGAGGGGACACATGTTGATGTAGAAGAGACATGAAGAAGAGGGGACACATGTTGATGTAGAAGAGACATGAAGAAGAGGGGACACATGTTGATGTAGAAGAGACATGAAGAAGAGGGGACACATGTTGATGTAGAAGAGACATGAAGAAGAGGGGACACATGTTGATGTAGAAGAGACATGAAGAAGAGGGGACACATGTTGATGTAGAAGAGACATGAAGAAGAGGGGACACATGTTGATGTGGAAGAGACATGAAGAAGAGGGGACACATGTTGATGTAGAAGAGACATGAAGAAGAGGGGACACATGTTGATGTAGAAGAGACATGAAGAAGAGGGGACACATGTTGATGTAGAAGAGACATGAAGTGGATTTTGCATAATAGGTGACCTTTAAAATAAGTGCAACCCACACAATTGTATAATATAGTATCCAATCTTTATATCCTGTGATTATATATACCTTATATATAAAATAGTCATTTATTAAGTAACTGAAAATGTAAAATAAATTGAGTCAAGGTAAATATTAGAGTATGAGTGCCATGAAAATAAGATACTAAAGTTAAGTAAAAAAGTACCTCATCCTTGTACTTATTAGTAGTATTTTGGTCTATTATAGTGTATTCTCACTTATAGTTAATATTCTAGATATTTTTTAAGCAACTTCCAGAACCAGGAAAAGCACTAAATAAATCAACATGTTGCTGTGACGAAGCCATTTCCATCTAAATCTATTTAACCTAATCTAATTTAATGAACAGATAGCATGAATTACCTGGAGAACTCCGCCATCTAGTGGCCACTTTGAGTAACTACAACTCTCACCAGAAAACCATCATTATTACAAGCTTGTATCCAGCTATCGTAATCTTTCACGACAACATGGTGATGTTAATGATGATAAGCGATCAAGGAACAAACATCTAAAACACATTTTCTTGTATTTTATTTTGTAACACATGTGATTTTATTGTTTTATATTAAATTTGTAGAGAGTAAAATGCTGGGTGACAAAAGCCCCATCCAAAAACACATGCAAAAACATAACAAATTAAACACAATTAATTGAAGCAGTTTCAAAGTTGCATGTCGGCAGTCAAAAGGCAGTAAATACAAACAGAAAATACTTCTCAGGATGTTTGATTGTATATATTATCAAGCTGTTCTTCATGAAATATTGCCATATGATCCAGTTTTGGTCCCTCTCACTGACTGTGACCTTTAACCTCCACCCTGAAGTCTCTGCTCTTGTTTCTGGGGGTCAGAAGTCATGTCCTCCTGCCAGGTGTCAGGGGTCATGTCCTCCTGCCAGGTGTGAGGTGAAGTCTCTGCTCTTGTTCCTGGAGGGGTCAGAGGTCATGTCCTGCTGCCAGGTTTTATGTGAGGGTGGGGCCAGCTCCTGGACTGGAAGTATCCCCGCAGCCCCTCCAGGTCCACGGCGGGGAAATAAGCTCCGATCCTTTTCCTCAGCCACCATTTCCCCTCGGCCGCGCTGCTGCTGCCCGGAGGAGTGAACCGGTACCTGAAGTGCTCGCCCCGAACCCACCTGAGAGGGGGGGGGGGGGGGGGGGGGGGGGGACGAGGAACGATGCTTTAAAAAGGTGTCCTGTTATGCAAAATGCACTTTTCGATGTCTTTTATACATAAATATTAGGGGTGGGAATCACCGATACGATACTATCGCGATACTTAAGCCACGATACGATGGTATTGCGATTCTACGATATGCTAAGTATTGCGATACGATTGAAACATTTCTGATATCTTTCTCTGCTTACTCCCATCGTTGTTTAACTTCCTGCTAATCCCACTGACTTTACCCATGGCCATGACTGCACAAGAAAAAGCTCAGCACCATATCGTGCATTGAAAAAGCAATTGTTAACAAAAACTTTCATTTGGATTTGCTATTAAGAATAGTTTATATAATAAAATATACAATATCGTCACTCAAAGTATCCCGATACTATGATGTATCAATTATTTCCCCCACCCCTACTAAATATGCGTCCCCGTTTTCCCATGAGAGACAGACAAATGTTTGTAATGTAAAATTGTTGTTGTGACTGTTTGTTTACCTGGGGGTTTCTCGGCCCTGGAAGGGGTTGTAGTCGATCAGAGAGAGAACCGAGCTGTCGTTGGAGAGCAGACGCCCGGCGATGTGGATCACCCACTCACTCTGCTCGTACGTCTGAGAGGAGACATGGAGACAGGGGGTTAGAAAGTGAGAAAATAATAATAGAGACTGACCAGAAGTATTTGACATGAAACTACTGCCCCCTAGTGGCTATACACAGTAACTGCAGAGACTCACAACTCGTTTTTGGCAAACAAACCCTAAAAATAATGTCGTTTCTGGTGATAAACCAATTAAACTGGGAAGAGGGAATTCATTAGCCATTTTTAATGTCTCTATTTGTTGCCTAGTATATTTCATATCATCAGAGAGGACAGGATGCTCTTGGAATGAAAACATTACATCTTAAATATATCGATTAACCCAAGTTGTTTTATAATATTGAAGTTACGCATGGGAAAAGTGTTATCAATTTATTTAAAATATGTTTTAGGAAAAAATGCTTTTGACTGACAATAAAAGGGTTGATTTTTTTTTTTAACTTTTTTTTACTGTTAGAAAAATAAATTATCCTTATCATACTAAATGTTATCTTTTGGCACGAATGACACAAAATGAGTGTTTACAGCAAAATCCCTTATCTATATAAATCAATATCACAAAATCCCCACATGCCTCAGGGGGCTTTAGTCTCTACAGATGAACAGAAATGACTCAAAGTGTAAAAAAACATGATAGAATTACAACATAGAACGTATACAAAAATGGAATAGAATTAACAAAAATAACTTTAACTATGTAGTAGGAGTTATAATGTCTCCATGTTGTGTTCAGTGTCTCACCTGGAAGGCAGCGAACCACATGAGCCAGTCCAGTCTGTAATGATACGGGGAGATGAAGCAGGGTCTCCTCTGAACGTCTCCAGGTTTACACAGGAACTGATACTCCTCCCACAGAGCCTCGGGGTCCTTAGGGTCCCCACTCAGAGTCCCCTGGAAGATCACCTCCGTACGCTCCTTAGTGATGCTGCACAGAGAGGGTGAGGAATTCATAATTATATATATATATATATATATATATATATATATATATATATATATATATATATATATATATATATATATATATATATATATATATATATATATATATATATATACATATACCGTATTGACCCGAATATAAGACGGAAACAAATCGGAAAAAGAGGGGTCGTCATATATTCGGGGTCTAGACTGTTTGATGTAATTACACAGTTGTCTTCCCGTTTCGCCCCTTCCCAATTCGGCCCTAAATTATTACCATTTCGCCCCTTCTCCATTTCGCCCCTTCCCAATTCGCCCCTTCCCAATTCGCCCCTTGCCACTTTCTCATTTCGCCCCTTTCCCATCTAGCCCCTTCTCCATTTCGCCCCTTCCCAATTCGCCCCTTTTTTACATTAGGTCACATAAGAAATGATACTTGTTTTGCTTGGTCGTGGATCCTAGGGTTAGGGTTAGAGTTTATAGATCTAATGATGCATCCCATGAAGCATTGCATGAAGTCTGTTGACGAATCAGAGGCTGTTGTTGGGGCTGCATGGGACAGGGGGCGAAATGGGAAAGGGGCGAAATGGGAATAAACCAATTACACAGTGACAACAGATCGCGCCAAACGAGTGTTTCCCCAAGCGAGACACCGTCTTAAAGTACGGAGATAGAGGTGGAGAGACACAGCGACCAACTCGAACAAAGTGGCTCAAAAGTAGGCAAGTTAATAAACAAGAGAGGCAAATCTACGATGCCAATTTGAAGATAATGGTGATCAACAAACGTGTTGTGGGAGGAGACGGGGGAAGCCCAGCGATGCAGAAGACGCAGCTGAATGAGAAGACGTCTGTGATGTGATGAATTTGAAGACTGTGGCTCAGTAGATAGTGTGCTGGACTTCAAATCAGGGGATAGCAAGTTCTAGTCCCACTGCAGTCAGCATGTCGTTGTGTCCCTGAGACACTTCACCCCAAATTGCTCCCGTGGGGATTGTCCACAGTACTGAATGTATGCAAGTCGCTTTGGATAAAAGCTCCAAAATCCAAAAATGAGTCTTGAAAAAGAGGGGTCGTCTTATAATCAGGGTCGTCTTATAATCAGGGTCAATAGGGTATATCTTAATAAGCTACAGGGTCGATGTATACAAATCCTGGATATGGTACAAGATTTGAGATTACAGACGCTTTTCGAGGCACATATGTTGAAAATGAACTGGGAATTTTTTTTGATTTTAAGACAAACAAAGGTAGCATCGAAGAGTCCCTTTCTGCTACACAGAAAACCCTCCAATATATCATCACGTTTTACAAAGAAAAAATATATATTTCACCTTTATTATGGAGGGGTTACAGTGGATTGATGAATAGCACAACAGGTAAGAGAACACATATGTATTGACGCTATTATGGGGTCCCTTTAAGCACTAGCACTAAAGCACTTTTCATTGAACTATTCATATCTCCCACTGCACTGTAACTTTTATTCAAGCATTTTTTTTACGTTAATGACTGTTTTTAAATGCCATTTTCTTAATGTCTTTGATTTTTGTAAAGCACTTTGAATTGCCTTGTGTTTAAAAGGTGTTCTATAAATAAACTTGCCTTTAAGAGCATTTTAAATTCATTTTAAAATGTAGACAGGTAGGTGTGATTCAAGCTGTTTTCAGATCAGTTGTGTCCCGTACCTGCCGAAGGCCCCGTAGGTGTTGACGATTCGCAGCGGGTCGAAGGAGGTGTTCATCACCTGCTTGGAACTGAACAGGTTCATCACCACGGGAACGCTCAGGTAGCCAATCAGAATGGCCAGAGAGACGTTCACCACGCGACGAATAAACATCCCTGTGAAACAATATCAGAGTCAGTGTTTTTTATCCTGGGGGAAATTGAGTTGCTCCATTGAGAATAAAATACATACTTATTATAAGTCAGAAGCAGCAATAAAGACATGAAATAAAATAAAATAAAGCTATTTGTATAAACATAAGAAGTTAAAGTATGAGTTTTCAATAAAAGATGAAATAAAATAATTATATATCTAGATAAAATGAAGAAACTAAGGTAGAAATGTAAAATAAAAGGTAAAATAAAAATATTAAATAAACACAAGACGTTGGTGTATTAGTACTAATAGGATATTGATGATGGTTTGCAGTTTAAAAGTTAATATGCAAACAAAGAGTGGAAAAGTCATTTAGACTACCTAGAAAAGGGCTATATATAAATTAAATGTATTATGATTATTATTAGCAGCACAGTTATGGAAACATGGACTTATTAAACGTCACCAACTCAACTAGACTCATTTTATAAAAGTTCATAAAGCAATGCATGTCAATTCTCCCTCAATGCTCCTACATGTGTATCATTTTGTTGACTTTTAGAGAAATATTGCATCTCACGTCTCCATTTATGGACTTCAAAATGAGACTAAGTGACCCGGTGGAAAACTGTCATTAAATAAAATATCAAGATGTATTTTTATTAGCTCCAGAGGGATTTAGCAGTCAGAAAAGACGACATTTCCTGGTACAGAATTAGTGCTATTAGCCGTGTGTGTGTGTGTGTGTGTGTGTGTGTGTGTGTGTGTGTCTGTGTATGTGTGTATGTATGTGTGTGTGTGAATGTGTGTATGTGCGTGTGTGTGTATGTCTGTGTATGTGTGTATGTATGTGTGTGTGTGAATGTGCGTATGTGTGCGTGTGTATCTGTGTGTGTGTGTATATTTGTGTGTGTGTGTGCGTGTGTGTGTGTGTGTATATTTGTGTGTGTGTGTGCGTGTGTGTGTGTGTATATTTGTGTGCGTGTGTGCGTGTGTGTGTGTGTGTGTGCGTGTGCGTATTTGTGTGTGTGTGTGTGTGTGCATCTGTGTATTGGTATATGTATGTGTGTGTGTGTGTGTATATTTGTGTGTGTGTGCGTGTGCGTGTGTGTCTGTATGTGTGTGTGCGTGTATTTGTGTGTATGTGTGCGTGTGTATCTGTGTATTTGTATGTGTGTGTGTGTGTGTGTGTGCGTGTGCGTGTGCGCATTTGTGTGTGCGTGTGCGTGTATTTGTGTGTGTGTGTGTGTGTGTGTGTATGTGTATGTGTGCGTGTGTATCTGTGTATTTGTATGTGTGTGTGTGCGTGTGTGTGTGTGTGTGTGCGTGTGTGCGCATTTGTGTGTGTGTGTGCGTGTATTTGTGTGTGTATGTGTATGTGTATGTGTATGTGTGTGTATGTGTATGTGTGTATGTGTATGTGTGTGCGTGTGTGTGTGTGTGATGACTTCAACACTTCCTCAGAGTTAGAGGTTTAACATGTTAGATCATTAGTTTCGACCTGCCTGTTAAACTCATCAACATAATCCAACACTAAGGGACTTTCTGGGTCTGTGGAAATGATTAAAAACACACGGCAGGTGGAAGTGTATTTTATATCCAACATCTTACGACAAAGCAAAGACACTAATGGGTCCAACGAGACCAATTAGAGGACCACTGTTGCTTTACCACTTTTTAAGCAGTGTGTAAAATATGTAACCCACATCACATTAAATTCCAATAAACCGTATGTCATAGTTTTCCCAGCCTCTCAGCTGTCTGAGCGCTAATCCCTCTATTTTCCCATAATTCCTTTCCTCTTGTAAGCGTCAACTGTTAGTCTACACAAGTGTCTGGACCCATTGAGGGTATTAAAGTTTAATTCTACAATGAAACACCAAGCTTTAGAGAGAAACCGTGTGAGAATATGTCTTATTTTGCCCCCATAGCATAGAGAGAATATATGGCCATGACTCATTGTGACTCATTTTTGGTGAATCTGGGGCCCTAGGAATAAAAAGGGTCTTGTCTTTACGTTCCTGAATGATGATAAAAGTTATTCGCTAAAGATTTCCTTTAAATGGGAGAAAGACCAAATGATGGTCTGTGTCAGTTAAGGCCCGGACACACCAAGTCGATTTTGGCCATCGGTGGGCGTCGACACGCCCTACTCAGATTGGTGTGTCCCGCACCGTCGTGTCTTTTCAGCCGTGCCGACACCTTTTCGGCCGAAAACCCACCGATGGGCAGTCGGCCAAAGGCTGTCGGCAAAAGAAATCACTCTGATTGGCTGTTCAGCTTAGCGAATCAGTGCATGAGAAGCGAAACGGAAGTGAGGGACCCAAACAAACTATTAAGACACAGGTTGGGGAAAGCCCCATGAGCTTCTCGCTGTCGAGTGAAAATGGAACGCACACGCTATTTGTTGTTTGTTTATATCACGCAGTCTGTTCTTCTTCTCTCGGTGTATTACGCAGTCTGTCTTCCGGTTGTTGCCTCTTTTGAATGACGAATACACACTACCGCCGCCTGCTGGTAAGGAGAGTTATTGCCACTCACGCATGTGCAGTGCGTACGTGCTACTTGGCCGTCGGCTGAAGTCTTTGCGGTGTGTTCCAGTGCGACACATGGCCAAGACGCAGGAGACGTGAGGCGACACAACAGTCGGGGGTCCGTCTGTGTGAGTTATTTGGTGTCAGTTTGGTGTGTCCGGGCCTTTAGAGATTGTTACTGAAAGTTGATGTGAAGAATCATCAGCGTGTGAAGTGCAGTAGCCTTGGTTTTCAGATACAAACTAGCCTTAAAAAGTAGCAAGATGTAGGATTTGGGTCCCTGCAAGATTATATTTTGTGCAGAAAACAATACAAAGAACAATGGCCTTCATGTTACGTCTTTCCCTGGTAATAAAGTGCCCCAATCTCCTTCACTTGTCTACCAATAAATACCCGAAATGCCTAAGGGCTGCGTTTAAAATAAAAGCATAAACATCTAGGAAAAAGTTAGAGAATTCAATTTATTTCTCATTGTGACGTTTTTCTCAGAATTTTGATTTTCTTTCAACTGAATTTTGATTTTTTTTCTTATCATTTTTTATTGTTTTCAGAATTTGACTTTTATCTCAGAATTTGACTGATAAAGTTAGGACTTACATGCCGTTTATAAGGAGTTGTTTCTGTACTTTAAGGCTTTGTTTGTGTTTTGTGAGTACCTTTGCTGGGTTTAGGTGTTCTTCCAGCTGCTTCCTCCTTCTGAATCTCCAGCACCGCCTTCTTGGCTCCAGATTTAGAGCTAAACAGGAAACCCAGCGCTGCGTCATCGAAACAGGCCAAACTGGGAACAATGGTGAGCCAGTTCAGGAAGCTGAGGTTCCCGCTGGTGATCAGTACCGCCTCATAGGAGACAGGATAACAAAGGATTAGAGTAAACACTGGTGGATGCATTATATTACTTTATTACATGGTTTAGTTGAATACTCGATTCTGATTGGTCAATTCAGAACACGTGACACATTGTTAATCCAGAACAGACAGACCGCTGTCAAGGATGTATTGACCGTTGTTAAGGACGCTCACATCTACACAAAGAAGTTCGGTCGATTTAATTGTATACAGTTTGATTTTCAAACTGGGACAAGAAAAACAGCGGAGAAGTAACGGGGCAGAAACCCTCCTTTGTACGCAACGGTCCAGACATCAAACGGCAAAACATATTCAGTGTGCAGTTACTTTGGCATTAGGGCAGGGATATCTAGATACTTTCCAAGGTTTGACATAATGAATTGTGCTACTTTTAAAGCAAGCAACGATGTTTTCAAATCAGTAATCAAAAAGCTCCTCAAAAACGCTATCGAAGCAGTTCCTGCCGTTGCTACGTTAGTTCAAACGGTAACAACGGACTATTTTTCTTAGCGGATGCATGTCATTTTAAATAAATAATAGCGTACTATTTTTAAATCAATAAAAACGTTTTCTAAATCTATAAAAGCATTTCAATTAATATTGGGAGTCATATCGTTACTTTGTTGAGAATGTGGCCGTGTAATAAGCGGGATAATGTGCAGCGAAGCGGTCATTGTGAAGAACACCCTTCATGCAGATCTAGATCCCTCCGCTTCTCGTCAGCCTGTCGGTGTTCTTTTCCTCATAATGACCGCGTCGCTGCACATTATCCCTTACTTAGTTCCCGCTGGTGATCAGTACCGCCTCATAGGAGACAGGATAACAAAGGATTAGAGTAAACACTGGTGGATGCATTATATTACTTTAGTTCCCGCTGGTGATCAGAACTACAGCACAGGAGACAGGATAACAAAAGGTAGAATTTAAATAAAACAACTGGTGGATGCATTATATTGCTTTAGTGTAATGAGGTATTTTAAAGAGGTTAACCAACATGTTTAATCTCAGAAGTTTGACATTTTTCTCCGAATTTCACTTTTTGCCATTTTTCCCAAAATGTGTCTCAGAATTGTTCATTTTTTCAATTCTTCTTTTTTTTCAGAATTTGACTTTTTCTTAAAGGGGACCTATCATGCAAAATGCATTTTTGTACGTCTTTTATACATGAATATGTGTCCACGGTGTTCCAGGGAACTCACCAAGTGTCAGAAAACACAACCCTCTCTATTTTCCTCCATACCCAAATCTCTAAAAAAGGGGCTGCAACGGATCTGATCAAAACTGATCCAGATTTGAACACTGTCCTGACGTCAGGACGGTGGCGCTACGGCTATTGGGCCAACTCCACCAATCAGGAGGAGACAGCCACGGCCATTGCCGTTCGAAAGCGCTGGAGACGCTGTAGTACATATGCCAGGCCTGTAGATGGTGCTGTTCTCACTGAATCAGCCCTTGCAAAAACAGAGCAACATTTTTTCAAATTGAGCAAAATGAGGCATGGCTAAAATGCATGATCTGTTTGGTATTTTGAAAAAAAAAAAGTATAAATATGCCTTATATAGGTATGGTCCTACACTATATTATTCAAATATAGCATGATAGGTCCACTTTAAGATTTAACTTTTTACTGAATTTTGCAATTTGACTTTTTTTCTCAACTCATTTTTTTTCTTAGAATTTTGACTTTTTCCTTTGAATTGTACCTTTATCTCGATTCAACTATTTTTTCAGAATTTTTATTTGTTTCCCTCAAGATTTGAGTTTTTTTGCCATTTTCTCAGAATTTGCAATTTTTCTCAGAATGTTGACTATTTTCTCAGAATTAAAACATTTTCACAGAATTTTCCCATTCTTTCAATATTTTGACTTTTATCTCGAAATAGAATTTTCTTCTGAATTTGCAATTTTTGAATTTCACTCTTTTCTCAAGATTAGATTTATTTTCTCAGAATTGTGACTTTTTCTCTGATTTTTTTCAAAATGTGATTTTTTTTTTCTCAGAACTCAGAGTTTTTCCTCAAGTATCCAAGTTATTTCTTTCTTGTTCATCTCAAACCGTTTGCCTCAGTTAATATAGTCTCTCTCCTGTATATGTTTAGTTACCTGGAACAGGACCTGGACGGCTCCGTTGACGGCGCACATCCTCCGGCCGAGGAAGGTGAAGAACGGGAACACGAGCTCCACGAGATGGTTGGAAATCGTCTCGAAGCGATGAAACCACCACGGAGAAAAGTGCATGTAGTAAGACATGGGATTAGGGACCGGCTGGGTCTGAAGGGGAAGACAAAGGATATTAAGTTATTATCCCCCTTAATATCATTATTATTTACATACATTTTACTTTATTAAAAATTGTATTTAAATTAATTAATTATTTTCTGAAATTAAATTAGGGGCGTTTTTTTTTTTTTTTTTTTAAAGTAATTTCAGATGGGTTTTTAGTTTTATTATTAAACGTATAGAAAACTGCTTTCGGATTTAGGGCATACGATGAAGCATGTTTTTCTTGTTTTATTTATACCATATCTAAAAATATTAGCTTGCATTTTAAAAGGGTCCAAGTATAGAAGTTAATTAATAAAACAATATTACCAAAATAGACGTCTTCTAGTGTTTAAAATGCATGTTTTCAATGCTTCCCCCTGTTCAAAATGTTTGTCTGAGCCTGAGATGGAGACGAAATGATGCCGTTACACATCAGGGGAAAGATTTCCATGTCTAAATAAGAGTGGAACTTTATTTAAATGAAGGCAACCCCACCTACACACAGACAGAGCTGAGCAGTGTGTGTATAATTGAGTGTGTGTGAGAGGTGGTTGCATGCGAACCGTGTAGAAAACTAAACATGCAAATAGGCGAGGTGGTGAAAAATAAATACGGTACAGAAATAGGTGGAAGGGAAAAGAAAACAAGACACGGACACACCAGTCTGTGCTCTTATTGTTTTTGTGGAACAAATTGTGGGATATTTTACCTGCAGCTTACCAAAAACACCACTGGAAATGTAAAGGCAACGAGCCTGCGACCTCAGACAACCACACACACACACACACACACACACACACACACGCACGCAAAACCCAAATATGCCGAAACACACCTACGTTTCTCTGCAGCTTGAAAGAGAGCAGTGTGTCAGAGAAGGTTAATAAATATATATATTTATATTCAGGGGTCAACGCTCGGGTTTATCTGGATCTTATCTCGTTATAGAAAACAGGACTTTGGGTTTTTAGAAAATGTAACAATGGCTACAAGGACATTTCCCAATAAGACGGCAATGCAACTAGTGCAATCTTAACTCGTAGTTTGATAGTTTGGTTGGGGCTCCTTGCTTTGTGGTGTTTACTAATTCTTCTTCTCAGATATATAAGGATTTCTGATTCCCCCTGATGCATTTCATCACACATTGAATATCTCTTTGGTTCTGGACAGTTAGTCAGACTTAACAGAGGCCTTGTTTTGAAGAAAAATGTGATGATTACGCAATCAAAAAGAGTCTGCAACCCTCATGTGTCGTAACGCTTCTCATAGGAAAGCCTGAATTTTAAAATCATTGGTAGGAAAACTGAAAAAATGTGTCTCAACAAAGACAGAAAATAGAGCAAAGATTATCATCGGTCAGTGAAATCAAATTAGTTTCGGAGCAAGGGGTCTGCTGCATGTACGTTGTCAGGGGTAACACACTAGCATGTACCGCCCACCCACGAGCCACACACACACACACACACACACACACACACACACACACACACACACACACACACACACACACACACACACACACACACACACACACACACACACACACACACCACACACACACACACACACACACACACACACACACACACACACACACACACACACACACACACACACACACACACACACACACACACACACACACACACACACACACACACACACACACACACACACACACACACACACACACACACACACACACACACACACACACACACACACACACACACACACACACACACACACACACACACACACACACACACACACACACACACACACACACACACACACACACACACACACACACACACACACACACACACACACACACACACACACACACACACACACACACACACACACACACACACACACACACACACACACACACACACACCTCGTAGTGGTAGTCCATGCAGGTGAGGTCTCTCCAGCATTTGTCGCCTCTGATCTTAATGAGACCCTGAAAAAGACAGAGAACATACACATATGTTAAAGCTTCATGATGCATGAGATGCTTTTGGCTAATCGGGTCAAATAAGCAACCATCAACAGTCCATTAGATAATCAGATTAGCAAAAGACATAATTTAAATCCCATATTTAGCAGGAGAGACCCAAAGGGAATACATGTGATAAGGATGTACCCTTCTCCAGGTGCAAACATTATTGCACATACAGTATTATGGCAAAAGCACTTTTGAGTGAAAGGAAAAGTGAACACACATCTGGCAGCTAAATGTCAATGTAATGGCTTTAAAGAGTCATTTCCCGCTTGAAGCAGTAAAAATGTGCACATTTGTAGAATATTAAACAATAAATATGTAAAAATTGGTATATTAGAACTAATTCAGTGGTGCATTTGAATTGTTAAGGATATTATTGCTAAATTGCACAGATAAGAGGCTAATGAGGGCAGATGACGCAGGTAAAAAACCCTTGATATACTAACACTTCGTTGGGAGACACTGAGAGAAATGTCTCCTCCACTCCAAGGCTGTTTTACACCAAATTAGAGTAAATACGTCTCTCTCTCTCCAGGACACGAGACGGTCAATATTGACACATCAGCCCGACACAGGAATGCAGAATAAATTCTCCGCTAACGTCTCTAAACCAGATTTAGAAAAACCAGGACATTTCGCTCTGATTGGATGCTGGTTAATGTGCTGATAATCCAATTTAGTCATGAGATCCTAAATGTCAGCAATTACTGGCTGATGTACACACACTTTGGGCAGAATGTAAATACATAGATTTGTCTTCCATGTAAATAAAGACAAGTTATCTTGATTCTGAACAGTTCTCAGAAACGTAAAGAGACAGAATTAACGACCGACAGAACTACCTGCAGGAGACAAGATAACACAGGTAGGATTAGAGTGAACAGAATTTTTATTTCATTCTCAGAATTTGATATTTTTCTCTCAAGATTTGACTTTTTCAGATTTTTCTTATAATTTTCCTTTTTTCTCATAATTTGGTCTTTTTCTCAATTCAACATTTTTTCAGAATTTCCACTTTTTTTCCTCAAGACTTTACTTTTTACTGAATTTTCTCAGAAATAGACATTTTTCAACAAAAAAAATTGAATTTTCTCGAAATATTGACTTTTTCTCTGAATTTTGAATTTTTCTCAGAATTAGAATTTTTTCTCGATTCATATTTTTTCAGAACTTTTACTTTTTTCTCATTTGGTATTTTTTTCTCAAGATTTGACTTTTTTAGATTTTTTTCTTATAATTCGACTTTTTTCTCATAATTTGGCCTTTTTCTCAATTCAACTTTTCTTTCAGAATTTCTTAGAATCGTTATTTTTTTCCTCAAGACTTGACTTTCTACTGAATTTTTCATATTTTTTTCAGAATTTAGATTTATTTTCCAGAATGTGTACATCAACCAGTAATTGTGAGCAATTACTGGTTGATGTACACACCTCTGACATAAACACACACATCGTGCAGAATGTAAATACATATATTTTTCTTCCATGTAAATAAAGACAAGTTATCTTGATTCTGATTCTGAACAGTTCTCAGAAACGTAGAGAGACAAAATGAACGCCCGACTCCAATGCGTTTTAGTGTTTTTTTAGAAACATAGCTGGTCTCTAGTCTATGGGAAATTGTGATGGTCACTTACACAACTCCCTCCTCCTAAAGAAAACAACCTCTTAGGATATACAGTATATTCTAACTTATGCAGGCAGGATTCAAAGATAATTCATAGCAGCACAAACTGAGAAACCCACAGCGATTTAACGCCCGACTCCAAAGCGTTTTATCGGTTTTTTTGGGCTCACTGTTTTGGTTTTGTAACTTGCAGCACTTATCTGTATTTTAAGACGAATTAGAAAGACGTTTATCAGCAAGAAGAAGTGCCAGTCTGATGGGCGTAGTGACGCATTTAGCCGTTAGGAAGTCAGATATTTAGCCCAGGATTGGATTTTCAAATGTTTGCAGATATTTATGTTTATTCATGTTACTTTAAGTAGCTGAATTACTCTGGTTTAATTCAGTGGTATCAATGAACCCAATATTACAGATTTTGCAGGGATTTAATTGCAATACATGGATACAAAATAAGTATCAAACACATAAGACATTTGACCAAATTAGATCCCAAAATAAAGACAGTTCATTTGAGGTTGAAGAGAGGAACATTTTATTTTTCTAGAAGACCACACCTCAGACTAGACTAGAAAGTGACCTCAGATTTCTGCACTTTCTTCCAGTTGAACATCCTGCACCAGTCAGCATGCCAGCAACACTTTATCCCACAATCCTTAGCAACAGGTAAACCAATCTGATCTCACAAAAACACATTCTCACACTCACAGTAATCCCAGTTAACGCCCAATGCTCCACACCTAGCATAGCATTTCCAAATTAAGGACGTTTTTACTACTTTGTACCTGCCAGCAGAGAACTGTGTAATCCAATACACACATCTGCATGCCAGCCCTTCAAATACGTAGCTTGTAAACTTAAGCAGTACACCGAAGAAATTAAGAGTTTCTTCACAATAAAAGCAACTCATTGTTTAACAAATGGTTCACGCAGAACTACACCTACACACACTAGTCTGTGTTGGATATGACGTGTGTTACATGTTGGGATCATGGACGTTTCCCCTTGTTTCTGTTATGTGATTGTGACGTGTTATATGTGACATGTATGTAGTAACGCGTGTTGTTTATCGTTCTCATTTATCCTTTCACCTCTATCTACTTGTCTTTCATCCTTTCTTTATAACTAATGCTGTCTGGCCGGGGACAACAGCTGGAAATGAGCAATGTTGGCTAAAGCTGCCCCATTTACTGTTCTGTGTGACAGTTGATCAATGGGGACTGTCCACGATACTGTAAACAAATACAATGTTAAGAGTGGCTTATTAACTGGATTCAACATTTCTTTACTTGAGTTTTTTGGGACGAAAATATGTATTGTCATTTGGTTTTTCCAGCACAATACATATACAAAAGCCTACAATGGTGCTGTTGTGAATTTAGTGTTAAATCTCCTGTTTCTTTAGTTGGATATGCAGCTAACCCTGATATGTATTATCTGTAACGTAACGTCCACACGGCAGCGTCGCGTTGAAGCTTGCCGGTGGGCGTGTCTGGCGTGGACCAACAACCAATCACATTAACCTCCCGCCCCGGACACACAAGCACACGGTTTGATTGGCTAGAGCTTGTACTGGCATATGATTTGATTGGCTGGCGCTTTCGTCGACGCTTGAAAAGTTGCTCAACTTTCGAAGCGAGCGACGGAGGCAAAGCGACGCGACGGAACATCAATGCAGTTCAGCAAAGCGTGACCATTCAAAGTGAATGGGAAGCGTCTCCGTTGAAGCACGCGACGCTGCCGTGTGGACGTACCGTAAAGTGACTGCCAGCCCTTCAAATACGAAGCTTTTAATTTAAGCAGAAAACCAAAGAAATTAAGGTTTTTTTTCACAATAAAAGGCAACTAATTGTGTAAGAAATAACATTTTGAAAGTGGCTTATCAACGGGATTTTGTTACTTAAAGGTAAAGTGATTCCACTATGTTTTAGTTCCATTTAAAGAGTTTTTTGGGACACATATTTACTGGCATTTGGGTTTTCCAGAAAAATACATATACAAATGCCCGCCCACCTACCCACCTACCTACCTACCTACCTACCCACCCACCTACCCACCTACCCACCTACTTACCCACCCACCCACCTACCTACTTACCCACCCACCTACCTACCTACCCACCCACCTACCTACCCACCCACCTACCTACCTACCTACCCACCTACCCACCTACCTACCTACATGCCTGTGGACAAACATTAGAAGCACTTTCTGTATAGTGTAAGCTGATATTTCTGCATTCATGGTGCAATGTATATATGCAGTGGTGATTTTAGTGATAAATCTCCCGTTGCTGTGGTTGGAGATGCAGCTAACCCTGATATGTATTATATGTAAATTGTTCGACTCACAGCTCCCAGCATGATGCGGACGATGAGCCACCTGAAGGTCCAGATGCTGATGAGGGAGGGGGGGCAGCGGGGGGGGAACCTGGGAAAGCGTCCACAGCGGACACAAGAAGATCGACAGGAAGCCCGTCTCCAACAGCTGACTCTCCCACCCTGAAACCATCAGAGGGACTTGGTAAAGATGCTTCAACAGACACTCAAAACATATATATATTTAAGCAATAGCTCACGACAGGCCGTGGTATATGGCCATTATATCACAGTTAAGGGGCGTGGTTCGGCCCGACGCGAAGCTTTTCAGCCCAACTATATACTGTTTTTCTCAGACGCGGAGGGATACTGACTTGTTGTGAAAAGTAACTTACAATTTTACCCGTGGTATACGCTCAGTATATCACGGCTAAGAACCAATCAGATTGCTTGATTTGACTTGTCCGTTTTATAAATATATAATCACCCTAGAATATAATTAAGAAATGCAAATTAAACAGGATATTTCTATGATACTGCTCACTGCAGATAATTATGTTTTGATTATTTAAAGGTGGGGTAGGTACTTTTGGAGAAACCGGCTCGAGATCGCTAGAATTTGAAAATACACAGCCGGAGAAAATCTGCCACTTCCTCACAGAGCCCCTCCTCCAACACACACGAACGCGCACATGACCAATGAGGGCACGAGATAAGTTTGTGCACAGATGGAAGGCTGACAGGCAGGTAGGCCATCCAGTTATTTTAGCCGGGCCGGCTCAGATGATTGGTCGTGCTTTTTACAGTACTACAGCTTCCACAGATGATATTTTTTTTATGGATTTTTTGTCAAAGCCCTTCAGATATTCATTGCTATCGGGATGTTAAGAGCATTCCATGGAATATAACAAAAAGTGTATCTCGAGCCGGTTTCTCAAACTTACCTACCCCACCTTTAAAGCCTACTTACTCAGATCTTAATGCTTATGTCAGTATAAAAACAGAGATGGTGTTTACTTACCAAAAGAGTACCTTGAAAGAGAGAGGAGAAAACAAAAAGGAAACCTCAGTATAAGACATTGATGCAGAAATAAGACTAAAGGATTTAAAATAAATAGATGGAATATGCCACCTTTTATATTATATTTTTGATGCTAGGCAGTTAGCGTGTTAGCTAGTTAGTTGGAAACAATGTTAAAGAGAGCAGAATTACGGTCAATAAAACCAAAATAATTATGCAAAATAGACTAAAATGCTTAAAAGAGCGGAAAGAAACTGCCACGTTGGGTGAAATTGTTCTGTATTAGTGCAGTTTTAGAAAAAAATATATAAAATAAGGGAATAAAAGCACACAGTTTAAGCATAGTAAGGAGTTAAAAAAATATGAATCAGTCCATTTTAATTTAAAATATTATGATAATTCAGATAATCATTACTTGATCATCACTACTGTGTGTACTAAAGCTGCAAAATGAATTTAAATTGTATTAAAAACGAGTATTGTAGAGCTGCATTAAGTCCAGGCGTACAAACGCTATTCTACAGACTAAATCAAATATCCTTTCCTTGGTACAGATCCAAAAAAAATGAATGTTTTGAAATCATAAATCCCTATAACATCTCAAATCCTACATATCACACTTGCAAAACCAGTCAAAATAATCAAAATTAGTTTTTTTCTAAACCATGCAGCCCTAACATGTACATGATGTATATATACATGTATGTGTGTATATCTCACACTCACCACAGCTGTCCCACGCTGACCAGAGAGTGGTACAGCACCCACAGGGAGGCCATGATCACCATGTTGGCCGTCCCGGTAACCAGGACGACGGCAGACAGAGCCATCCCCGCCACAGCGAGGGCGTCCAGGTTGGCGTCCATCTCGCTCCAGTCCAGCAGCCAGAGGAGGGAGGGGGTGTAGGCGAAGGCGGCCATTCCTATCTTCCCCCCCACGTACCTCTTCACGCTGCTCAGGTAGCTCCTGCAAGGCATCAGGCCGCGCTCTCCAATCAGCTGCTTGTTCTGGTTGAAAGCAACGCTGAACGCCACCACTGCAGAAAAGAGGCGAGATAAAAAGGCACAATCATGGCACAAGATTCAAGGCTATTATTGTCATTACTTACTAATTACTTTTATTGATATTGAAGTGAAGTGACTGTTATTTTGTATATATTGATTGTTGTGCTGATGTCTTTATGTGTGCATATGTATAAATGTGTCTGTTGATTGTGTATATATAGGATATACCACTGAATAAGGTGTAATATCCCCATTTTTACATATGTATTGTAGGCAGTGAGACTGTTAAACAATTGAACTGCTGAAACAACTTCAAAAACATTCATCTGCTACTCAGTAATATGTATCTAATATCTAATATATATCATTCCAATAACTTGTATATAGACTCGTACCGCACTATTCCACATGCTCACTTTATTTTATAACTATTTTTCTTTTTGTATTGCTCTTGCTATCTGTATTGTTATTATGTTGCATTGTTGGAGAAGCCTGTGACATAAGATTTTCAACAACATAATTACTCTGTAGCTATGTCAGATTGACAATAAAGAACCTTGAACCTATTGTTGTTTTATATTCTACAATTTGCACATTTGTACTGCTTCAAGTGGGAAATGACTCTTTAAAGTCATTACATTCACATTTAGCTGCCAGATATTGGATATAAACTCCACTTAGGGAAGATAGCTTTTAGGTGCGCAGCTCCTCTAACTTGGAACAGTCTGCAAAAAGAATGGAAACTGAGAAATGTGGTTCCACTAAATGTTTTTAAAGCTCGGATAGATGCTATGCAATCGGATACTGTTGGTACCTGTACATGTCGATAGGTATGTCAATTGTAATCCCTGTATCTATGCTGTATGATGTCCTTTAAGTTTTTCTGTTTCATGTGGAACCTACTTGCAGCAGGTCTCCCTTGAAAAAGAGATTGATGATCTCAATGGGATTCACCTGGTTGAATAAAGGTTTGAAATTAAATGAAATAAACCCATAAAAACAAGTGTTCACTTAATTTTACTCAAAACTAGTGAAATGTGTCTATCATTCAAGTGCTTTTGCCATATGTGTCCAATTGTATTTTTGTAAGTTGACTTTGACTTTGTACATTAGCTACTGTGTAGATCTGACAATGAAGAACTGAGGTCACAGGCTCCTCCAACAGTGCAACATATATATATATATATAGGACATAAACAGATAACACAGTTAAAAAGGGGTTAACTGCATTCAAGTAGAATTTAAATATGATATATTAAATCCAAATCCAGAGGCTGGAATACACAAACTTCCAAATGTTAGTTCATAACTCAAAAAGCTTTTGGAATAGAGCTGCAGGATCTTCGTAGGTCTCGTGAATGTATTGCAAGTTTTCAGGTGTTACTTTTTATTCCATGATATAAATTAGGAGGTGTTGTTGGTTTGGAGTAAACCAATGTTTAGTTTCCAACAGTTCTGGACGTCTTTCTTGTTAGATAAAAATGTAATGCAGGACTTTCACATGGAGGTATCACTACTGTAGCTTGATATCACAATCTCAAAATAAATGGCAAAAGCTAATGATTAGCATCACTGGTGGTAACCCTTAATAACTGCTGGCAATACTGATGCTAGACAGAAGTATTTCTCAGCACAAGTGTCACTAAGTTATTTAAAGTTTAAGACCAAAATAAGATATGTTTTAAGGATAATAATGGTGCACCGTTATTGCAGAACATGGGCATAGGAACATATTCCATTAGACCAACAAAAATAAGCCATTAAAAATACATATAGATTTTAAACATAATCAAATGTATGCCTGGATGTGAATATGAATGTCGACTATGCTATATATACACACACAGGGGGTAAAATAAATAGTACTTGTGCCAGACAGACAACAGCCACTACATTATTAAAACATTTAAACCAAATTAGGAGATATTTAACACAAATTAAATGGTGGACAGTTATTGGAGAGCATGGGCAAAGGCAGTGACAGCTACACCAACTCAAAGAGCTAATAAATGAACTCACTTAATAGGTTTTATCCTATGTTTTTGTAGCTTAAACCGACAGCAAGTCACAATTTCAGCACTAAAACACTAAAAAGACAAAGTAAACAAGAGAGCTATCATGTCAAACGTGGACTTGCAAGCTAACTTGAGTCATTACTGTTATTTAAAGCTAATTATCTGCCTTTAAAGTAAACAATGACAGGTTTTAGTGGAGTAAATGTCAATGTGCTTACAGTAAATACAGGCGAGAGAGCGCAGCAGCACAACACGTGTGAGCCAGAAAGTCCCCGGATGTAGGCTCTGCGGTCTCCGGTCTTTCTCCGGTTCTTCTCCCGGTTCTTCTCCATGTTTCTCCCCGCTTTCCTCCCTCTCAGGCTCCGGGTTTCTGCCCTCAATATGTCGCTTCCTCACAGAACTACCAGAACTGTCACCGGTGGCCGCCATGTTGAGGGGCTCTACGATCACGTGATATAACAAACGCGGAAGTGCATAAACAGGATTTTTTTTTATTATTATTTTTTGTTTATATTATTTGTGGTATTAAAATAATAATAAATCAATTTAAAAAATAATAATAATAGGATAAAATAAAGTAGAAAATAATGAAAAAGATATCACAATTTTAATAACAATAGAATACAATAAAATATAGAATAAATAGAAAACAATAATAATATTCGTTTTTATTTTAGGAGGAAATTATAATTATGTTACATGTTATAATAATTACAAGTAAATTATATAAAACATACAGTGTATATTTGTTTGTTTTAATAATATTGTTAAAGCACTTTCCTCACTATCCTTCTTTTTCATGCGTTTTGAATAAAATGTCCTTCAAATAAACTCATTACTGTTGTTGTTTTTTAGATTAGATAAATGAATTTAGGGAGGCGTGTGGCGCAGTGGCCTAGTGCGTTGGTCTTCGGATCAGGGGAGCACAGGTTCAAACCCCACTGCAGTCAGCATGTCGTTGTGTCCCTGAGACACTTCACCCCAAATTGCTTCTGTGGGGATTGTCCACAGTATTGAGTATGTAAGTCACTTTGGATAAAAGCGTCTAACAAGTAACGTGTCATGTAATGTAAAAATGTAATTTACAATATCAAGAACATTCATTAGTGAATGACCCTTTGTTAGTTTAATATTATAGTATTGGAATAGTATTACTGTATTAACGAGTAAGCTAAGTAGAATATGAATGTTATAAGATCGAGGGAATTGACATAAATAAAAGTAGGATATCCTTTCCTAAAATACAAAGGAATAGAAAAACCCAATATAATATTGACTTTAAAATAATATTTAACTCATCTGACGTAGGCTACTATCTGAATCTTCATAACATTTGGTTTTGAATTTGAATGTTCTATCGTCTGTCAACATTAACTGCCTCCGGCTGCTTCGTGCCAAACTGGGAGGAACTGATCCTGTAAAACTTTCCCAAAGCCAATAGGACACGAGGGGGCGGAGAGAAACGAGTACGAAGAGCTAAAGTGCTAAAAGGAAACTCATTAAACTTTGCCTAGCTCTGTCAGAGGACGCAGAAAGAAATCATTCAAGACAAGAACATTGGAATTGTACCTGATTTCGGGGTGAAACAGTCTTCCGACTAAGCCGTGCGCATTTACGCACTTGGAGAGTTGGAATTGGACAATTTGGCAACTTTTTACCCGCCAATATGACAAAAGAGAAGTCATTGACAGATATTCCTCGCAGTCCAGCAGGCAGCGACAGCCCTTTATCCAAGCATGGATCAGATTCAGAGTCTCCAACCTCTCCAGCTGGGTCAGAGGCACCAGAGCCAGCGCGCAAAATTACGCACGAACCGGAGAGCAGCGTGAAGGCTGATCGCTTCCCCGCGTGCATCCGTGACGCGGTGTCGCAGGTGCTGAAGGGGTACGACTGGTCTCTGCTGCCCGTACCGCCTATGGGGGAGCGCGCGCTGAAGAGCCAGCCTCACGTGAAGCGGCCGATGAACGCCTTCATGGTTTGGGCTCAGGCCGCGAGGAGGAAGCTGGCGGATCAATATCCTCACCTGCACAACGCGGAGCTCAGCAAGACGCTGGGCAAATTGTGGAGGTGAGTAGAAACATTATTCTCAAGTTGGACAAATGAGAAGTCAGTATTGAATGCAAAGTCGGAAGAACAACACAGTTAGTGTTGCCATGACATAACCATGGTTTCTCCTCAGGGAATTTCATTCCAATTGACGACTTTAAAACCAACAGTACATTCACGTGATTAAGCATTATAATCTCTATTAATGTGTTGACATTTTGAATAAATACAAAAAAGATTGAAGAGAAAGTATACTTGCAAAAGAGAGTATAGGGAGAGGGTGTGTTGGTTTTGTTCTTTCCTGCATGTGGAAGAAAACATAGTTTGCACTTATAATACATCGTTAAATTAGGACTGATGTTTATTACAGATATATAATGCCAGACTGGCTGTCTGGTACAATAGAACCTTTGTTTTACAAAAGTGAGTACTAGACATGTGGAGGTGGGTAGTAAAGATTCAATAGAGGGTCTCAACTTTAACTAATGACAAGTTAACAAGCTATGCAACTATGACTGTAGACCACCACAGTTCTCTCCTCAGTGGATCTGATCCAAAATAAGAATTGTACCTTTTTTGAAAAAGTGACAACTCTTCTGATTGGTGGGAAAGTAACCTACTAGCAAAAAGTGATGCATTAAAAAAAAAGGTAATAGTCAGATAGTGTGTGTTTTGTCCTGCATCATGTCCAGTGCAAAAACATGGTTTGCACTGAAAAACTATAACATGTAACAGTATCCTTCTTTTAATGAGCCTGTGTGTTTTAGTTATATATTTCAAGAAGCATTTTCTCGTGAAAGTGGGACTCATTCTCTACCTTATATGCTGTTGGATAGTTTAATATATAACTGCATCATACTAGCTCATTATGTATCTAGCTCTCAGATAGGGAATACAAATACAAATATTGTTGAATTATAGAGCAGTAAATAGTGCACAATGTGAATAAGCAGTCCTTCTCATTTCTCATTTCCTGGCTCTCTGGTATTCTAGAGAATGCTTAAACCTTTTTACAACAGTGAGAGTACAGAAGAAAACTCAAAATGTGTGTATTTTGGAAATTAGACAACCATTGTAGACCTTTTGTGCTTACATGAATGTAAAGGCCCTTGAATAACCCAACCTCTTCCTCCTCTCTTCCTCAGACTCCTCTCTGAAACAGAGAAGCGTCCCTTCGTTCAAGAGGCTGAGAGGCTGAGGATGCAACACAAGAAAGATTATCCGGACTACAAGTACCAGCCTCGGAGACGCAAGAGCACCAAACCGGGTCAGGGGGACGGTAGACCTGGACTGGTCCTGCAGAATCAGCAGCAGGGCCCGTATAAGACAGAACCAGGAGACGAGTACCATCAATACCATACTGACAAAACAGGTGAGATACCATCTTTACATCTGTTAGGGCTGCTTGGCAGGTCGCAATTACATTTCTGTTTCTTAAAATGTCTATAAAATGTCAGAAAGCAGTGAAAAATGTCCATTCCAGTTTCTCAAAGTCAAAGCTGATGTCTTTTAAAGTCTTTTTTTTGCAGTCCAAAACCCAAAGGCATTCACTTTGATTTGATATAATAATACAAATCTGCATCTTCTCTCATTTTTGCACAAAAAAATACTCTATTATCAAATTAGGTGCATATTAATTTGTGTCAATTGACTAATCAAAAACAGATGATAAACATTTTGAGATAAGTAGCTAAACTTATAGCTTCTTCTAAAACAAACACACTTTAAACCTGCCTACAATTAATGTATGTTCTCTGTTTTCCTTGCAAGTGTTTGTATTTATTGCTTTGATGGTTGATAGTGTTTTTTTGACTTCCTTCGATGAATTTATCAAAAACTATTGGTGCTCAATTTAGAGACACTTCAATAACATCCACATGTCAATGGGATCAATTTGAGGTACAGTATCTTGCCCTAGGACATTTTAACATGTGGAATTCTCTGATTGGTAGAAGCTTCTTTACCGCTTACGCCACAGTTGCCTTTATTGCTTGAGCATGTAAATTGATCGGTGAATCCTTTGTCTTTCCAGGTCAGTCTCACGGACCTCCAACACCTCCAACTACTCCAAAAACTGACCTCCACATGGGGAACAAACACGAGGGTCAGCGTCCTGTTGACACCTCTACCTCCACCACAGGGGGCCGTCAGAACATCGACTTCAGTATCGTGGACATCTCCGAGCTCAGCCCCGACGTCATCAGCACCATCGAGGCCTTCGACGTCAACGAGTTCGACCAGTACCTCCCTCCCAACGGCTCCACTCTCCTCACCCCGACAGATAGCACCACCCACGGACACAACACCTTCCTCCTGCCCAGCCTCCACCCTCACATCCTTGCCAGGACGCCAAAAAGTGGGACTGCATCCGCTTTACTATGTCGTGAAAACCCCAGGCTCCACGAGGACACAAAACCTCAGATAAAAACTGAGCAGATGAGTCCAGATCACTACAGCTGTTCCTCCACTCCTCCACAATCTGATTACACCTCCTTTAGTTCAGGCTCATCCTCCAACACCCACCAATCTGACTACAGTGACCTCCAGGGCTCCGGTTTCTACAGCAGTGCTTTCTCCGGATACCCCGCAGCCGGTCTGTATCAGTACCCGTACTTCCACTCCTCCCGCAGGCCTTATGTTTCACCTCTTATCAACAGCTTGGCCTTGGCACCACCTCCACACAGTCCTCCTCCATCAGTCTGGGAGCAGCCGGTGTACACAACACTCAGCAGGCCTTGAAGACGAGGAAACTCCCTGCAGAAAACTTTAGATATGGACAAAAACGTCACAGGACAGAACAGTAGCTGCTTTGTTGACCGGTTTTATAATTTAATTCTGAAGGGAATCGCCGATAACAGTAACTGTTGTATTGTGCATTAATATACATAGTTACATTTGTTTCTTTTCAAGGATTTCTTTTATATGATCGACAAAGATTCAGTGTTTTGAGTCTTTTCTGTTTGAGGCATGACATTTGAAACCTCCAATAAAAAGTCACACTAATGACATTTCAGTATGTGATTCGCAACAATTTGAGCTCCTCATTAGATATCGTGTCTGTTTTTAATTAATATAGGCTCCACATTAATAACAGAACATATTAAAGGTAGCTGGCTCTGCTGTCAATCACCCCAGATGGGACTCGAACCCACAATCCCTGGCTTAGGAGGCCAGTGCCTTATCCATTAGGCCACTGGGGCTCAAAATCCTGCATCATCACCAGTTCTGTAAACAAACAATGCCCAAAATGTGTGTTTTAAATGAGAAAACAATGGCATCTCTTATCTTTCAACCTGTTGTGTCACTTCTGCTTCCTACAAAACACACACCAAAATGCCAAACTCAAGGCTTTTGAGCTGTAAGTGGCAGAAAAAGAGATAAGAGGAGGGGGAACCTTTTCACATGTGGTTCTCTCTCAATCAATTTAGCACCAAACTGAGTTCTGTTCCAGTACAGTGCTGGTGTGAGTATGATTTCAACTAACTGAGAACCTGTTAACTTTTCCACCGACATGACGTCCTCATTTACAACTCCTCCCTATTCTCTAATATGAACACAACAACCTCTTGGTAATGTGCTCAGTTGTCAATCACCCCAGATGGGACTCGAACCCACAATCCCTGGCTTAGGAGGCCAGTGCCTTATCCATTAGGCCACTGGGGCTTTAAAATCCACATTGTTAAACATAAGAAAGACAAAATGTGTTTTTAAATGAGATACTGTAACAATGGCCTATGTTATCTTCTGACCTCTTGTCTCAGTTCTGCCTCCTACACAACCACAGCCAAAATGCCAAACTCAATGCTTTTGAACTGTACTGCAAGTGGCAGAACAAGAGATGAGGTGAGGGGACACCTTTTCACATTTGGTTCTCTCTCAATAGAGTTTGCACTGAATTGAGTTATGTTCTAGTGCTAGTTTGACTCAAACCGGTCATTTACATAGTTTACACTAACCTCTTACTCTTCTCAAACACTAATATGAAGCCAACAACCCCTTGGTTACAGCCCCAGCTGTCAATCACCCCAGATGGGACTCGAACCCACAATCCCTGGCTTAGGAGGCCAGTGCCTTATCCATTAGGCCACTGGGGCTGGGTCTTTTTACCGGTTCTGTAGAGATTCAGCACCAACGTAAAGCGATATAAAGTCAAGTCTATGCTGTTGGTCAGTCTATGAGAAAAATACCCTACTTCCAAACTCCTGTTACTTCTGGATCCAACAAAACAGCAGTCAAACTCAAGGCTTCAAATCAACCCAAATGATGAAACCAATGGATGACTACCTCCACTTGTTATTTCCCAATTTTTACATTCAAATGTGTAATCATGACCCAACGGCAAACTGTCTTTTGTACCAACCAGATGCCATCATTTATGTGGCAGCTCATGATTTAACCATTATATGGCCAACCCTAACCCTAGTGCTTGGTTAGGTAGTGGCCATATGTGCACGAGTGACAATATATGCAGTATTCTGCTGTCAATCACCCCAGATGGGACTTGAACCCACAATCCCTGGCTTAGGAGGCCAGTGCCTTATCCATTAGGCCACTGGGGCTTTATATCCTGCTTTTTGTGGGTCCAATAACATAGAAATCTATGAGAGAAATTACCCTACTCCCAAGTGTGACACTTGTACCCAAAGCAACTCACAACGAGTGCATTCAACCATGAAGATATACACTCTAAATAGAGGGATTCCTGCAAGTACAAGGTATATATACATTCCTGTTTGTCACGCAATTCGGTCTGATGGTGCAGCTGTATCACAACATTAAAAGAGGCTAAAAGAAAGAGCTGTAGGGGTCAGAGTCACATCCCTTAGCTGACAACATGTATTCCTGCTCTTACGGCTGTCACTGTCCCTCTTCTGCTGCGTCTCCAGTTGTTTCCAGTCCAGCAGCTGCTCCTGCTGGTTTCCTGTCAGGAGATTATCTGATTTCACAGTCCAGGAGCTGATGGACAGCACAGCTGGATTGGGCTTTCCAAACACTGAGCAGTAAGAGAAATGCTACTTTGATTCATGACACGGAAAAAGGCTTTGACTTGTCGACATGACCACTAGTTAGATTTAAAGGGGAGACTCTATAAATGTTAAGGGCATTTTTTTTAAACGTAAAGATATCACCATGAAACTTCCCCTATTGATAACTTATATTAAGACAATACTTTTTTGTATTACAAGTTTTCTGAAGTGAAATGTTTAAATATGCATATGAGTGGATTTGTTGGCAAATAAGAGTCAAAGATTTGTACAGAGGGAATTTCAGAATGTTATCACTCCATAAATCAGAAAATGCTATTCGCTGTCTTAAAATAAGGCCCTTTTTCACGTGTTTTTGTGATAAAACGCCATATAAATCAGGCTCTAAATGACATTTCAATGAACCCCTTTGTTAAAAAGCTTCAGAATATAGATAGGAGAAATGTTTGGTGGGTATAAGTGCTTCTGAATTAGAGATGAATGGTAAGAGAGTATAAAAGCCACTACAGACAGATGAATAAAATAATAAACTCAAAGATAATATAATGACACTTCCCCAGTTGATTACTTAAGGCAATTATGTTCTTATAATTAGGCTACAAGTTTAACATGTGTGTTTAAATATGCAAATGAGGCATTATTTTATGCTAACTTTTGATGAATTTTGGATAATTCTACACACAATAATAGACTAAATAGTTTAAAATATATTTTAATGTGTATTTTTTGGTTTTCTTTCCACTAGTCTGCAATATTGCATGTTATGTTAGCAACATATAACTTGAAAATGGACCATTGCATGAAGTGTGTCGCCATATTAAGCAAGTCCTACACTCAAGAAACTCCCAAATGGGTCAAAATAAGCGAGAAAAAGTTATTCCTAAGATTTTCAGCTCAGTTTTCGTATTAATAAATGTTTCCTCAGCCACCTTATTATCTCTGGGACAAACAGGTGTCTGTTGAGATGACGTCCCACAGCTTTCCCCCACTTCCTGTTTGGGTTCTGCTGCAGCTCAGTGGATCACTGTCTGGTGAGTGGTGACCTGCCTGCCAACGACAACTCGACTACAGACAGACGCCCATTGATGCAATAAACACACCGTTAGGGAGGGGAAGTGTGTGTGCAGAGGTGGGAAGTAGTGGAGTACAAGTACTTCGTTACTGTACATAAGTACATTTTTCTGGTATGAGTACTTTAGGACTTTTTACTTTTACTTCTTACATTTCTAACAAATACCTGTACTTTCTACTTCTTACATGTTGAACCCAAATACCTGTACTTTCTACTTCTTACATTTCCCAAACAGGCTGGTTCCTTTAGTTTGAATGTGTGTTTGGTGGCGTGATCATTATTATTTAGAGTCATTGCGTGCCTATTGATTTGAACACGATCCGTGTATCCATCACTTCCTGGTCTTCTCTAAAGAAGAGGGAAAGCCCATACAAAGCCCAAACTTCTTTACTTTTATTTGAGTGAAGAAGTTTAGTCAGTACTTCTACTTTTACCAGAGTATTTTTAAACACGAGTATCTGTACTTCTACTTGAGTAAAGGATGTGTGTACTTTTGCCATCTCTGGTGTGTGTGAGAGCGTGTGTGTGAGAGTGGCGAGATCATCAGGTGACATTCACACACAGAGCAGGTCACACACTTTCTCCCGCTGCACAGATCTCCTTTAACAGGTGACTGAAGAGCGCCATCTACCGGTGTATAAAATACATCTTACCTTCTTAGTTAAATGCCAGTTTTGACCTTCCATGTGTTTCAGCACCGCAGTGTAATGGAATTTACGGTGGAGGACATGAGAAAAGAAAAATTGGGATGTTACAAAAAGTTAATAAAATAAAAAATAGAGTTCTGTCTTCAGTCTGAGAACTCTGAAATAAATGTATTTTTGTTCTGAAATAAAAATATATTTTGAAAAATATGTTCTGAATATTTTTTGTCCTCCTGCAAATATAAGAATTCTGAAAAAAATGTATTATTAATATTATTTTCATTTCCTGTATTTATTTCCACATTTATTTATTTATGTATATATTTCCTAATTTATTAATTATTTTATTAATTTATTCCTGTATTTATTTCCATAGTAATTAATTTATTCCTCCATATTAATCCGTCACCAATCTGCATTACTGGTGAAAAACTCCATCTTCTGCTGTGTAAATGGATGTAACTGCACCTTCATTACCAGTGGCTTTACACTTAGCTTACACCTTAATTTTCTTGGATGTGCTTCAATAAACCCCCCTAGTGTTGAAAAGTATAATTGTCGTACAGTTTGCAGACCTAAAACAGACATATTTGCAAAGAAAAAAATCCATCACTTCCACTTGATTTCAGCTTCATCTGTATTCATGTTAAGTTTTTTTATAATGAAACAAACTTGTCACTGTGATTTAAGGTTCAACACAACAACGTGTCTTCAAAACCAGATGGTCAAACAAACCAGTTGCAGAGTAGAAGTGTTGTATAAATTACAATCCTGTCACATTACAATCCTTTTTAAAAGCAGCAACAACTGTCTACGATGATATGTCCGACGGTACGAATAAATAAGAGAACATGGAGGTTTTAAAGAACCCTTCGGCCACCTTAACAGCCACGGTGATCACTGAGAGATTTCAGGTGTGTGTTTTTATGCATATTTGTTGTTAACAGCACTTTGTAGGTTCAGGTTTTTCAACAGGCTCTCAGTGCCAGAGGTTCAACCTCACAGCATCCTCAACAGAAAACTCCACACACACACACACACACACATTTTAAGCCACTGTCATCAAAACTGTACATTCAATAAATTAACAATGCATTGTCTTTGTTATAAGCAACCAGTGAAATGACTCTAGATTACATAATTACATTAGATTACAGGTAGGATGAACCAGACGAGAGAAGGGGAAGTTGGTAATGTTTAGCACGAGTTTGGTAGGCGCGTAGTGATGACATCATCTACCCTCTGGGCCTTCAGTCCCATTTGAGTTCAAGTTTTCTTCACACAGATAGGCTCCAGTCCCTTTGTCTCTTTATTTTCATTTTCGTATCCCCACTTCCTCCCCACATGGTCTCAGGTCACACGTTGGGATTGTCTCTGATCTGGATGAGACTTCGCTGAGTTTTGTCTTACTGCAGTCTTCAAGGCTTGTGTTTAAAATGGGCCTCCACTGAAAAGACACAAGAAAATAAAGTTAGTTTAAACAGAAGAACGGGCAGGTAGTTCTATAGGTTAGACAGGTTTTTGTGTTTTGTTTTTGGGGCTGTAAACGGCCTCAGATTTGACTCAAACCTACAAAGAATAGACAGTGGCTTATTCATTGAAGTCTAGGGTTTGGTCCGAGCACACTTCTACTACTATAAATGCAGTTAATCACCCCAGATGGGACTTGAACCCACAATCCCTGGCTTAGGAGGCCAGTGCCTTATCCATTGGGCCACTGGGGCTTTACATGCCACCTCAACACCTGTTTCGTACACTTACAGCCAATTTTCATTGAATAAAAACAATACGGGTAACACAATGCGTCGTTTCGAATGAGATACCAATGGCCCCTGATGATGTTGTGAGAGTAACAACAAGAAAACAAGAAACAAGAGGAGGGGGAAACATGTAGTCACAGATAAGCCCTGTGCTTTTTGCTCAGCTGTTGTTTATAGACATTGTACAAAGGTGTGGCGCTGTCCATGGTGTATAAGCTTACATGACTGAGCTTTCTTTATTAGATGTATTCTTTGATCATGAAAGAGAAGCCCTATGTTTTGTATTTAAGCTGTGAATGGCCCCAGACAGGTCTCAAACCTACAATACCTGGCTTAGGAGGCCAGTGGCTGATCCATTGTAGTCAGGGTTTGGGGCCCAGTAGACTCTGACTGTGCGAAAGACACAATCATTGCATTTTATGCTATAAATTACCCCAGATGGGACTCGAACCCACAATCCCTGGCTTAGGAGGCCAGTGCCTTATCCATTTGGCCACTGGGGCTTAAAACACCACCTTTTACCAGTTTTGTATACACACAATGCCCAACATGTGTTTTTAAATGAGGTAACAATGGCCTCTATTATCTTCCAACCTCTCCTGTCACTTTAGGTTCCTACAAAACACACACCAAAATGCCAAACTCAAGGCTTTCGAACTTTAAGTGGCAGAACAAGAGATAAGGTGAGGGGACACCATTCCACATTTGGTTTTCTCTCAATACAGTTCGCACTGAATTGAGTTCTGTTCTAGTGCTAGTTTGATTCCAACCAACTGTGAATATTTTTGCTTTTTATCACCGACCACTGACATGATGTCCTCATTTACATGGTTAACATCTAACGTCTTCCAAACACTAATGTGACCTCTTGGTTACAGGCCAAATTGTCAATCACCCCAGATGGGACTCGAACCCACAATCCCTGGCTTAGGAGGCCAGTGCCTTATCCATTAGGCCACTGGGGCTTCACCTCACTCTGATTAACCAATGTTGTCCACATACAGCCACATACGGCCACAAATGTAGTCTATTTATATAGAAGTCTATGAGAAAATGACCCTACGTCCAATCTCTTGTGTCGTTTCTGGTTTAAACAACGGTCAAAATGCAAAACTCAAGGCTTCTAATCTGTAGCCCAAATATTAACAGATGGCTTCATAGTGACTAGATCCATATACAGTTTGTCCACTGAATTGAGTTCTGTTTAGATGCTTGTTTGGTTTAAGCCCTTTCCACACGTGGTTCTCTCTCAATACAGTTCGCACTAAATAGAGTTCTGTTGTAGTACTTTGAATGTTTTTGCTTTGTATCACCAACCACTTTCATGATGTCCCCAGTTACATAGTTAACACTAACCTCTAACTCTTCTCAAACACTAATATGAACCGAACTCCTCTTGGTTATAGCACAGCTGTCAATCACCCCAGATGGGACTTGAACCCACAATCCCTGGCTTAGGAGGCCAGTGCCTTATCCATTTGGCCACTGGGGCTTAAAAAACCTACATTTTTACCACTTTTTTAGACATACAGAAGACAGAATGTGGTTTTAAATGAGATAACAATGGCCTCTATTTAGTTTTGATCTCTTGTCTCAGTTCTGCCTCCTACACAACCACAGCCAAAATGCCAAACTCAAGGCTTTTGAACTTTAAGTGGCAGAACAAGAGATAAGGTGAGGGGACACCATTCCACATTTGGTTTTCTCTCATTAGAGTTTGCACTGAATTGAGTTCTGTTCTCGTGCTAGTTTGATTCCAACCAACTGTGAATATTTTTGCTTTTTATCACCGACCACTGACATGATGTCCTCATTTACACGGTTAACATCTAACATCTTCCAAACACTAATATGAACCCATAGATCTCTTGGTTACAGGCCAAACAGTCAATCACCCCAGATGGGACTCGAACCCACAATCCCTGGCTTAGGAGGCCAGTGCCTTATCCATTAGGCCACTGGGGCTTGAAAACTACAAATGTGTACCCGTTTCGTACACATACAGCACACAAAATGTGGTTTTAAATTAGGTAACAATGGCCTTAATTATCTTTCAACCTGTTGTGTCACTTCTGGTTCTTACAAAACCCCAGCCAGAATGCCAAACTCAAGGCTTTTGAACTGTAGGTGGCAGAAAAAAAGACAAGGTGAGGGGACACCTTTTCACATGTGGTTCTCTCTCAATAGAGTTCGCACTAAATAGAGTTCTGTTGTAGTACTTTGAATGTTTTTGCTTTGTATCACCAACCACTGACATGATGTCCCCAGTTACATAGTTAACACTAACCTCTAACTCTTCTCAAACACTAATATGAACCGAACTCCTCTTGGTTATAGCACAGCTGTCAATCACCCCAGATGGGACTCGAACCCACAATCCCTGGCTTAGGAGGCCAGTGCCTTATCCATTAGGCCACTGGGGCTCAAAAAGCTACATTTCCCCCAGTTTTGTACACATGTCTCATCAATATGAAGCAACAAAATGTCAAATGAATGTGAAAACTGTGCCTGAAACCTGCATGGCCACCACTGGGCTTTACGTAACACAACCTCACCAGTTCTGTTCACATACAGACAGAATGTACAAAGCTGTTTGTTGTTTTATGTGCGGTGCTGTCCATGGCACTGAAGCAGAAGATATAGATAGACAGAAAACAGCTTCTTGGCCTACTGTTGAAAGCAGCAGAAGCTCACATGACTAAGCTTTCATAATAAGATGTATACGACGATCATGAAAGAGAAGCCCCATGTTTTGTTTTGTATCCAGGCTGTGAATGGCCCCATATGGGACTCAGACCTACAATAACTGGCTTAGGAGCCCAGTGGCTGATCCATTGTATTCCTGGTTAGAGGCCCGGTACACTCTCACTGTGCGAAAGAGACAATCATCGCATTTCTCTGCTATAAATTACCCCAGATCGGACTCGAACCCACAATCCCTGGCTTAGGAGGCCAGTGCCTTATCCATTGGGCCACTGGGGCTTGAAAACCCACATTTTTACCACTTTTTTAGACATACAGAAGACAACATGTGGTTTTAAATGAGGTAACAATGGCCTCTATTATCTTCCAACCTCTCCTGTCACTTTAGGTTCCTACAAAACACACACCAAAATGCCAAACTCAAGGCTTTTGAACTTTAAGTGTCAGAACAAGAGATAAGGTGAGGGGACACCATTCCACATTTGGTTTTCTCTCAATAGAGTTTGCACTAAATTGAGTTCTGTTCTCGTGCTAGTTTGATTCCAACCAACTGTGAATATGTTTGCTTTTTATCACCGACCACTGACATGATGTCCTCATTTACATGGTTAACATCTAACTTCTCCCAAACACTATTATGAACCCATAGACCTATTGGTCATAGGCCCAGCTGTCAATCACCCCAGATGGGACTCGAACCCACAATCCCTGGCTTAGGAGGCCAGTGCCTTATCCATTAGGCCACTGGGGCTTGACAAATGGATATTTTTACCACTTTTTTAGACATACAGAAGACCAAATGTGTTTTTAAATGAGATAACAATGGCCTTGGTTATCTTTCGACCTCTTGTCTCGGTTCTGCCTCCTACACAACCCCAGACAAAATGCCAAACTCAAGGCTTTTCAACTGTAAGTGGAAGAAAAAGAGATAAGGTGAGGGGAAACCTTTTAAAATCTGACTGTGACTGTCTCAATCCATTCTGCATTGAATTGAGTTCTGCTCCAGTAGAGTGCTGATGCTGGTTTTATTTCAACCAACTGCAAACCTGTTTGTTTCTTTCCAACCACTGTCATGATGTCCCCAGTAACACGGTTAACACTAAGCTTCCCAAAGACAAATATGAATCCATACACCTCTTGGTAACAGGCCAAACTGTCAATCACCCCAGATGGGACTTGAACCCACAATCCCTGGCTTAGGAGGCCAGTGCATTAGCCATTGGGCCACTGGGGCATGAAAAATACAAATGTTTACCCGTTTCGTACACATACAGCACACAAAATGTGGTTTTAAATTAGGTAACAATGGCCTCGATTATCTTTCAACCTGTTGAGTCACTTCTGGTTCTTACTAAACCCCAGCCAGAATGCCAAACTCAAGGCTTTTGAACTGTGGCAGAAAAAAAAAACAAGGTGAGGGGACACCTTTCCACACGTGGTTCTCTCTCAATACAGTTCGCACTAAATAGAGTTCTGTTGTAGTACTTTGAATGTTTTTGCTTTGTATCACCAACCACTGACATGATGTCCCAAGTTACATAGTTAACACTAACCTCTAACTCTTCTCAAACACTAATATGAACCGAACTCCTCTTGGTTATAGCACAGCTGTCAATCACCCCAGATGGGACTCGAACCCACAATCGCTGGCTTAGGAGGCCAGTGCCTTATCCATTAGGCCACTGGGGCTCAACATGCTACATTTCCCCCAGTTTTGTACACATGTCTCATCAATATGAAGCAACAAAATGTGAAATGAATCTGAAAACTGTGCCTGAAACCTGCATGGCCACCACTGGGCTTTACGTAACACAACCTCACCAGTTCTGTTCACATACAGACAGAATGTACAAAGCTGTTTGTTGTTTTATGTGCGGTGCTGTCCATGGCACTGAAGCAGAAGACATAGATAGACAGAAAACAGCTTCTTGGCCTACTGTTGAAAGCAGCAGAAGCTCACATGACTAAGCTTTCATAATAAGAT